AGTTTCAGTTCTTTAAAATCCAGCCACTCTATTGTATTGTTATAGCAGCCCAAAAGCACAACGACAGATAAATTGTTAGCTGCCCATGTCACCGTCATTAGCTAGTTATTAAAAGGAAGGAGCCAAGAGAAGTCAGACCTTGTTGGGCTGTCAGTTGGGAAGGAGAGGCCTGTTTGCTTCACCAGGAAGCTACAGCTTCACACGCCCTCCAGGGAGCCCTCAGTCCATTCCCCAGTGATCACTGGAGAAGGGATAGTACAAAGGGGGAGGTAAACACATTCCAAATAAAGTCAAAATGGTGCAGGGGGAGGTGCTTGACCTTACAGGCCTGGGAAAAAGATAGTTGGAACTAATGCAAACCCAATTCCCCAGGACAGTCCTTCAAATATTTGAAAACAGTTCTTAATGTACCATCTCATCTCCACCTTTACCCCCACTCCTTACTTCTGATTTTCCTCTTTTCAAGCTCCAAGTCCTCTATTCCCTCAAGTATCCTTCCTGGGCCAGCTTCTTGCCCTACTCGCCACTGAATAATGATCCTGTTCTTTTTTTTTTTTTAATTTTTAAAAACACTGTATATATTTTTATTGATTTCAGAGCGGGAGAGGGAGAGATAGAAACATCAAAGAGAGAATCATTGATCAGGTGCCTCTTGCACGTCCCACACTGGGGATCAAGCCTGCAACCCGGGCATGTGTCTTGACCTGGAGTCAAACCTCTTGGTCCCTAGGTTGACACTCAACCACTGAGCCACACTGGCCGGGCAACCCTGTAGTTCCTAAAGAAGTGCCTTATTAGGATTAATGGCTACTTATTGGACTGTTACCTCTCAGCTCTAAATACACCCTAAATGCTGGGTGTGGGGCTCTGCAATACAAATGGTATTGCTTCTTTGCCAGCTGGTTTCCTGCCCTTACTGCCACTGGGGACACAAGAGGGAAACCAGGAGGCAGAAGGCCTCACTCTTCCTGTTTGCTGTTGCTGCTGGCGTTGCCTGGCACCGGTTCACACCCTGATGGAGGCAGTTGGTCCCATTCTCCAGCTTCTTCCTTCAGCGCCCTCCCCGCCCCCCCTCCCCCCCAGCCAACTCCACTGCTCCCAGGACCCTGGGGGAACCACTTGGACAGCACCCGTCCTCCCAGGCCCGAGTCCCGCTCTTTGGGGCCCTTTTCTGAGTTCCTGGGGATGTTCTCTGATGGCCTGAATCCACCAGGTCTGTATTTCCTTCCATGCCTCCCTCCAACACTGTCCTGTATTCCACAGGCATTCTAGTGACCTTACCCATAATGCCTAAACCTGAATTTCACCTTGGTACTTATTTTCCAGTTGGTAGAAACCTGGAATTCTTCCCTCCTCCTCCAACACCTACAGCCAGTCTCCATGCACAGGCCATTTCCACCTCAGTATTTCTCAGATGTTTCCTCTTTCCCATTTCCACTAAAACTTCCCTAAAAAGATCCCCACCATCTCTTGCTTAGATCTCTGCAACAGCCTCAAGCTGATCTCCATGTCCTCAACCCTCTGCAAGTCACTCCTACCACCGGCAGAGGCCACTGATCTGTCCAGGGCTCAAATCTGATTGCTCTGACCTGCCTCCGCTTCTCAAGTTCCATCCTGTGTTTCTTGCTGCTCTCCTTTAGTTTCAGCAACACCCAGCTGTACTGCCAAGCTGCCTCACATCTTCCCCTGCACAGCCACCTCAGGTCTCACACATGTACTTGGCCTGACAAACTGCTTAAAACTCAACTGTCACCTCAGGAAGGTGCCTCTGAACTTCTCTAGATCCTCCCTTCCTCTGTGCCCCTCATGTCCCGATGTACCTGGTGACTTTTTTTGTGTGTTGTTTTGTGTGTGTTTTTTGTTAATCTTCACCCAAGGATATTTTTTTCCATTGATTTTTAGAGAGTGGAAGAGACAGAGAAAGAGAGAAAAACAGATGTGACAGAGACACATTGATTGGTTGCTTCCTGCACATGCCCTGGCTGTGCCAGGGCTTGAGCCTGCAACTGAGGTAGGTGTCCTTGACCGGGAATCGAATCCAGAACCCTTCAGTTGGAAGGCCGATGCTGTAATCACTGAGCCAAACCGGCTAGGGCCTGGCGACATATTTTTATCAATGCACACAACACTCTGTGTTCAGTAATATTTCTTCCTCATTAGACAGTAATCTCAAAGGGCTCCTCATCCTTGGTTACCACTGCAGACAATGCCTGTTACATTTGGTTCTTTTTTTTTTTTTACATTAAATCTTATTGTTCAGATTATTACACTTGTTCCTCTTTTTCCACCCATAGCTCCCCTCCACCCATCCCCCCCCCCTCCGCCCTCACCCCCCACACTGTCCTCATGCATAGGTGCACAATTTTTGTTCAGTCTCTTCCTGCATCCCCCACACCCCTTTCCCCCACAAAAATAGTCAGTCCACTCCCTTTCTATGCCCCTGATTCTATTATAATCACCAGCTCATTCTGTTCATCAGGTTATTTACTCACTTGATTCTTAGATCCACTTGTTGATAGATATGTATTTGTTGTTCATAGTTTGTATCTTTACCATTTTCTTCTTCTTCCTCTTCTTAAAGGATACCTTTCAGCATTTCATTTAATACTGGTTTGGTGGTGATGAACTCCTTTAGTTTTTCCTTATCTGTGAAGCTCTTTATCTGACCTTCAATTCTGAATGATAGCTTTGCTGGATAAAGTAATCTTGGTTGTAGGTTCTTGGCATTCATTACTTTGAATATTTCTTGCCATTCCCTTCTGGCCTGCAAAGATACTGTTGAGAAATCAGCTGACAGTTGTATGGGTACTCCCTTGTAGGTAACTAACTATCTTTCTCTTGCTGCTTTTAAGATTCTCTCTTTGTCTTTTGCTCTTGGCATTTTAATTATGATGTGTCTTGGTGTGGTCCTCTTTGGATTCCTTTTGTTTGGGGTTCTCTGTGATTCCTGGACTTGTAAGTCTATTTCTTTCACCAGGTAGGGGAAGTTTTCTGTCATTATTTCTTCAAATAGGTTTTCAATATCTTGCTCTCTCTCTTCTTCTGGCACCCCTATAATTCGGATGTTGGTACGCTTGAAGCTGTCCCAGAGGCTCCTTACACTATCTTCATATTTTTTATTCTTTTTTCATTTTGCTTTTCCGGTTGGGTGTTTTTTGCTTCTTCGTATTTCAAATCGTTGACTTGATTCTTGCGATCCTCTAGTCTGCTGTTGGGAGTCTGTATAATATTCTTTATTTCAGTCAGTGTATGCTTAATTTCTAGTTGGTCCTTTATCACAACCTCAAGGGTCTCATTAGATTTCTTTAGGGTCTCATTAAGTTTATGGGCAGTTTCTAGAAAATTCTTGAAAAACCTTAAAAGTGTGGTTTTGAACTCTATATCCAGTTTTCTTTCCTCCATTTCTGTCATTTGTGTCCTGTTTCTTTGTCTCCGCATTTTTTTATGCTTCGCTGTGTCGATAGAGTGGCTTTCTGTATGAGGTGTCCTAAAGGGCCCAGTGGCTCAGACTCCCCAATTACCTGAGGTAGACACTCTTGGTGCACCCCCTTATGGGCTTTGTGCACAGTCTTGTTGTCGTTAAGACTTGACTGTTGTAGGTAACACTGGGAGGGATTGACGTCCAGGCCAATTGGCAGTGAGAATCAGCTGTGTCTGCAGTGGGAGAACTTCTGTGCTGGAGACACCCCTCCGGGACAAGACTTGCTTCAATGGGGCTTTGGTGCTCACGGAGTATGCCCCCCTGAGTGTGTCCTTTATGAATCCGAGGAGCTGCAATCTGGATGGTCCCACTCTAACCACTGGGCACACTGACTCCTGGATCTCTAAGAAGGTGCTAATCTAGCCTCTGCCTGAGGCTATCCAGCAGGAGCCAGCTGTGACTCAATGCAAGTTGCCCTGGGGCCTTGGGACAGCTGCAGTTTGTTAGGTAATTATCAGATTGCAAAGGGCCAGGCCTTTCATATGCAAAAGCCTCCATGTATGGCTTGGGCAGGGTCCCAGGAGATCAACAGGGTGGAGGGAGCTATGGCTGCTCTCAGTCCTGCCCTCAGAGGCCCTGCTTCTCAGTGTCCCGGCAATTGCTGCAAGCACCCCTGAGAGAAAGCTGCCCTCGAGTTCCGACCGATGCCAGACAGTCCAGTTTCTCCCCTATGAGTCTGGGTCCCCAGAGACTCACCAGGAACTGGAGCTCAGAGCTTGAGACTCCCTCCCGATTGAAAAAGACAACCATGTCCTCACCTGCCAACCCTCTCCACATGTGCCTCTGTACCTCTGTATTTTACTTCCGGACCGCACATCCTCTGAGTCTCGGTATGCTTTTCTCTTTCCTTCTAGTTGTAGAATTTCCACTCAGTCAGCCTTCCTGTGGTTCTGGATGATGTCCGTTCTGTCTTTTAGTTGTACTTTTGAAGTGGTTGTGTGAAGCAGCAATCTCTGGTGTTTACCTATGCCTTGGTTTCTTCACATTTGGTTCTTAACACAAGTGTTTATTGGTGAACTTCAAGGACTTATTACTATAAGAATAAACCAAATTATGTTTTACCATTAAGATTTCCCCCACCAGATGGAATCTTACTCAGCAATAAACAGAACTGAATTATTGGTACATGCAGGTTAACCTAAGTGGAAAAAAAAGTCACAAATTTAGTAAATTTTAATAAAACATTCTTAAAATGAGAAATTTACAAAAGTGAAGGTAGATTAAGAGTTGCTGGGGTGGAGGTGGGAGGGAAGTAGGTGTGGCAATATAAGGGGGCAATGTGAGGGACCCCTGTTGTGGATCCCTGTGGTGGGAGAACTGTTAGCATCTTGACTGTCAGTGTCAACATCCTGGTTGTGACACTGTATTCTACGTTTGCAGGGTGGCAAATGAATGAAGGGCACACAAGATCTCTCTCTGCATTATTTCTTACAACTGTATGTGAGTCTACAATTATCTCAACATAAAAAGTTTAATAAAAAAAATAAGATTTCTCACCAGAAAGAACATAGACGTCACACATTGTCCAAAGGCATTCTTTTTATTTGAGAAGAATGATCTCAAGGCAGTGCCCTTTGGGAAAGGCATCTCTCATCATCATGTACATGGAGATCAACCGTAACTCTCAGCCAAGTACAAAAATACACGCATCAGTGACTCCCGTACAATAAATACACCATGCATCCCACAATAAAAGGCACAGAAAACTGGTCACTTAGTAGTCATAAAAATTGCTAGCTACATTATTAACAAAGCCACCCAAATTACCTGTATAAGGAACTGTAACAATATATTCCAAAGGTGAAAACACATAAAACATCTTTAAAACAGTATGCAATAAATATCTCAATTGTTGTATATATTTAAAAATTATGCCATTGTAAACAGCATGTAAACAAACAAAATACATTTTCCTACCATTATTAAAACTAATTAGAGCCAAAGTTATAACCTCTGCCCTGTCAGGTATATTTCACCGGCAAGTGTGCTAAGCAGTTAAAAGTTTTACTCTTTTCTGCAGCAAACAGAGCCCATTGTGTAATAAATAGACATGATCTGCATCTTTCAGATACAGTACAATTTCAAAACAGACTACCAAAATGTAGTAAACTCTTAACTATAAATAATATAGCAAAGGCTAAATTAAACCTATCTTTTCCAATGTAAGGGTCAAAAGAACTCTACTACTGTATTATGTTTTCAATATGATAAATAGAAGGCAAATAGTTACTGTGTATCTTTATCAAAAGGTAAAATCAGTATGCTGAATATAAGGGGAAAGTATCTACCTAGCCATCTGAGCATCCTTCTTTTGTGGACCTTTTATAACATCCAAAAAAGAGTAAAGTTGTTTCAAACTAAGAGTTTTCTTTTGCTAGAGAACATAGAAATGATTGATACTTTATGCTGATGGGAAATGGTGACTTCAAAATAAGCTTATCAAAATGTAAATATACATACAAGGGTCCCCCCCCCCCATACTTACTGATAATTAAGATAACGGCAGTTTTTCTCCTTGTCATAAAGGAACCCTATTGCCTATCAATAAATATTCAGTTAAGTTCATTTTTATAACTCCAAGATTTTTGTTTTGTTTCATCTATATCAGTGTACTGTGGCACACAAATATGCTTAGTATGCTTACTATATGCTTAGATAAGTATGCTACCTGTTAAATATCACTCCTGACTCGCCAATAAAAATAACCGAGGTGGAAACAGGAACTCGTAAGCTCAAATGGAGCCTTTTACACCAGGAAGCATTACTTTACGTTTCCCTCTGCTGTGGGCTCACAATGCATACCCCATATATTTTGGTGTAAGTGTCATTAATAGGGACATATGCCTTTGTAAAATGGACTTGATATGTTACTTATGTTCTACAAATCTATTAGTCTCCTGGATCACACAGCAGTTACGGTTGTGGAAATGGCGTTCTACAGGTTTGATGAAAGATGTACTTGACAAGGGGTGGGCAAAATTATTTGTGGATGATCTGAAAATACAAAAACTGTAGGCCTAAAAACGGGGTTACTTCTGAATGACACAGGATTTGTTAGTTTTTTAATGTGAAAAGAGAACACGTCTCTGAAATACCCTGAGAAATACTTGGTTTAAAAAAATGTCCTCCCAATTTCTTAATGGACTATAGAAAAATAATCATGAAAACAAACTCTCCCAGGTAAGAGCTATGCCTTACTTTAGTTGTACCCCAACCTCTAATCAGATGCCAAGAATAGAGCAGGCAGAAAAATGTCTATTAAGTGGGTGAAGGAAGAGGGCATTTAATTTAATTGCATGCATTTTGGACTACTATTTAATTTTAGAAATGATTAACTTTAAAGAGCTTTTGTGTTAACCTTTACCATGATTTGGGGACACAGTCAAAAGGTTTTATAGAATCACAAAAGAAAACCAGGCCCTTGGTTGGTTGGGGTGAGTGTAGAAAAAATACTACTAAATTTTCTAAGATTTTGGAATTGCGTTTTTAGTATATCCTAAAATGAGTAATATGAACCTATAGTGCACAGATAATAGTTTTTATTCTTTATATTGTATAATGGGTGAAAGTCACAAACAAGCCTTCTTACATTTGCATCAGAAAAAAAGTGAAATAGACATTAGCTACAAATGACCTGAAATCACACAAATTCAGTCAATATCTTTGGCTGAACATTATTTAAAAGAAAATTTCACCTTCATTATTGTTTTTTACTCTTTCTGAAGTCTCATTATTTTGTGTAGGTAATCAGTGTATGTGTTTATATAGATTGTATATACCGAATGTCTACAAAAGACAAAGATCACCTTTACTGGATATTTAGGAATTACAAATAAGAATTTGTGATTTTGATAAGCCTCATATTTAGAAACAAGAATTCAGACTTGGTAAGTGTCTCTGATGAATAGCTAACAAATGATTATCCTTCATAAAGTGACTGTTCTTCCCTGCTGTCCATCACCTGTTGGTTTCCCAGAGTGTGTGTGTGCCCATGAAGACACTTAGCCCTCATGTGGACTCTGAGAGAAGCCCAGGTTTTCACTTGTGAAAGTATAACACTACAGAAAAGTTTGGGTTCTCTATTTACATCATCCATTCAAAAACACTTATTAAAGTCCTATTGTGTGGTAGCTAGATAGTGAGACTAGAAATTAAAAGAAAGAGAGAAATTCGGGGGGCAGGCATATAATATATAAAATTGTTGAAAAGTGATGTTATTTTAACAGAAAAAATTTCAAGATTCTATGGAGCATGGATGAAAAGCTTAACTTGGTTTGAGGAATTTGAACTGAGTCTTGAATGAGTTGACCTATAGTATGTGATTATGCTGAGGACTAAGTTGTGGATGGTTCCAAATTCCAGGAAAATGGTGGGCAAGAATGCTTTAAAAAAAAGCGAGGGGGGGGGGTGGAAATCGGTAGGTGGGGATGCAAACAACTCGAGTTCATAGAGAGCACTATCCATCATGCTAAAGAGTTAGGATGCTATGTTGTAAGAAAGGAGAGAGTATTTAAAAACTTTCAGCAAAGTGATGCAAAGCAAATTTGTGTTTTAGAAAGACCACTCTGTCAATCATAAGGAAGACAGACTAGAAGTGGTAGAATGAAGGTCAGAAAAGTGGTTACTGAAAAACAGAAAAAGCATAGGAGAGAAAAATGGTGAAAGGTTGTACTGATAAAAGCAATTATTTCCTTACCACAACTAATTAGAAATAGAACATAAACTGCTGATTCAATTTTTGAGATGGACAAAAATGATATATGAAACTGCAGAAACACTGAAAAAAAACTCTGATATATAGAATGCTTTTGTTTACACTGTCCAAAACCAAGATTAGGATTAAACATTGGTTTTGTTCCATGTTTTAGTTTATGAGTTTCCTGGAAGAAGACTATGTTGCTACGAAAACTGTGTCCTCTCTCAAAACTTTCTGAAAGTTTTTCAAGTAAAAGGAGAAGAAAAAAAAGAAAGAACTGCTCAAGTTTGCAATATTTCCATCCTCAACAGTATGTATATTAAAATCTGCTGCACAATTGAAATCTGTAAAAAGGGCCGGCTCTTAATAAAATTATAATTAATTTTAATTATACTAAGGTCAACAGTATATTAGGTCACTGTGGGAAGCAAGTTCCCAAAACAATGATTTCTTCTTGTCACTATATCAAATTATTCCGGAATCATCAATGAGGGATCTGTCATTATGAAAACTAAGTTGTGCTAATAAGACAGGTCAAAATACTATATGAATAAGTTCAGATTCAGTCTTTCCCCTTATGTCATACAGTTTTAGGGGAGGAGGGTGCAATAGGAGCTCCAAGAGACCACATTATGCTATAAAAAATACCATATTTTGCAAAGAAATCTTAAGTCAAGGATCAGATAGTGACTGAATTCAAATGTCAGGCAAAAATAAATGCAAGTATTCATTTACCCTCATCTATATTTAATGATTTTAAGTAGGTTATACTAATTTTTTTCATTTAATTGCACTCAGGTTTGCATTATGATAATAATTAAGGCAATCTCTAGTTTGGTCTTTTTACAGGAAGTTTTGAAGGTAATTTACATTAGGAAGTAGCACTCCACAGCCAGAGAATGTAGCCAGTGATCCATCCATGCTTGGGATCAAATAGCAAGGAAACCATTCAGCATTCACTTAGTATAGGGAGTGATGTCACAAGGTAAGAGAGGAAGCAGTGATGTCACAAGGTAAGAGCGGTCCATTTTTTTTAAACCACTGATTTAAAGAAACATTTTCCAAAAGAGAAAGAAAAAAGGAAGGAAGGAAAGAAAACATTTTCCTCTTTAGGGAGTTATTAATATAAGAAAAAATGTGAAGGTCCTAATTTTCACATCTGTAAAATGGTTGTTTGGGGTGGGTGCAGAAAAACCCCCACTAAACTTCTGAAGATTTTAGAAGTGAGTTTTTAGTTGACCCTAAAATGAATAATATGAACCTGTAGTACACAGAGGAAAATACCCAAACCTACTCAGGTACTGATAGTACTAAGGTAAGTTCACTCTCATTTTAACAAACCTTCCTGTAAAAGGACTGAGCATCGAGGGATGTTAATTTGGAATTTTAATTTTCAAGCTTTAGTCTTGGAAGCTTTTCTTTATAACTCAAATGACAGTGGTAAAGAAATAATAAATTTAGGTATGATTCATGCTTACATAACTCCTTTTGCAACAGAAAAATTCCCAAGTACTTATAATTGATAATATTATATGCCATGTCTAATTGGGAAAACTGAGGCACCAAAACATATGGTTTGTAGAAAGGACACAGTGAGCCAGTGTCAAAGTCAGTTATGGAACCCAGTATTATCTAAACTATATTCCTACCTCAAGAATCACAGAATTCAGCTCTGTGTAATATTATAAATTTTAATACTTTTTTTGTTTCAAATGAAAGGAAAATCTATCATTGCCAAAAATTTGAAGGCTTAGCAAAAACATGAAAATCTCTTTATAGTCTGAATGCTATGGTCTGATCTATATTTACCAGAGCTCTTCTATAGGAACTAGCTAAGCCCTTCTGACTAGTTCTCCCTATACCAATCACTAAGTTGAGAAAGCACAGACATTTGCCGCATGTAGGAAATGCAAAAGATTAGGTCATCCAAACCATCTGCTTCACTGACTTCTAAATTTCAACAGGAGAATGGGCCCCTGCATTCGCTGGCTATTTTGATAAAACACAGGTATGGTCTCATAGGCTTCACCAGGGTGCCATTTTGTTTTAGTGGTATTGTACCTACCATACAACTCACACATGTTTTGTGTTCCTATAATATAAAGTAAAAGATACCTAAATTCAAACTATTTCCAAATCTTTTCAAAAGAAAAGCTTATTTTTCTTTTAATATCCATATGGTGTTTCTCCCATAATTTTTTCCCCTGCCTTCAATAATTGTACAACAGTAAAATTAACAAAAACTGTCTTTAAAATTACAGTAAATTAATTCCTAATCTCCTATTATAGTGCTAAAATAGTTCACAATTCATCTACAGCTTACACTATACGACAGTTGAATTTAGGGCTTGTTAAAGTGATTTCTTTGGTATATAACACTGCCTCACATTAAGTCAGAACAGTTTTATTTTCTTTCTTGAAAACAGGATTTTATTCTGTGTGGTATGTTGTGCCATTATGGTTTCGATTTTTAGTTTTTTAATTAGTTGAATAGAGAATATTTTTAAACAAAAATAATTCAGAACTCAAATGCCATTGACGTAATTGACAGAAACAAATCATTATCCACCATGGTTACTATTTGTAAAGTAGTCTAGATTCAAATGCAATCATTGTTAAAAATATACAGGCTGGAACCTAGAGCTAGCTGCTAGCCGCTGGAGGTATGTGAGATTTTTTTGGGTTCAAGTTTCTTAATGTGCATTTGAATTTCATACTGGCAGTATAATCACTGAGATTTCTTTTACAACAAATACAGAAGAAAATAAGTTCTGACTTAAAGATAAACTATATGCAGATTGGCAAAAAATAGCAGAATGGGATCATGGCTACATTAAATCCTAATAATGGTGATTCCATTTTGGCTTTATGCCTTTTTTCATATTTATTTTAAACAAAATTATTTTTTAATAAAGTCTCTATTACTATTCAGTTATCTATACCTTTTTTTAAACAAGGAAATAAACTGGGCATCTGTTTGACAGAAATGAGTACTTCAAGTATGCAAGTAAATCATTAACAGAGCTATTACACTCTAAGCAACAGCAGTTACAAGAAAAGGGCTAGAATATGCATTTGTATAAAGATTAAATTTCACAACATAATAAATAAATGCACTGATTTATACAATTTGTGAAAATCTTCTACAGATAATTACAAGTAATACTGTCTATGTTGACTTTGCTGATAACAGCACTTAGATATTCAAAGGTAAAATCCTGACCCCAAAGCCACAAAATATACAAAGCTGGTTTGTTATTAAATATTCTGTCTGCCAAAGTCCAGCAAACTAAAATACATCTTGGCAGTTTGAATACCCAGCATGATAATTATTTTGGTACAAAAGATAAGAACAATTTTAATAGGAAAATTAATAAAATCAATAAAAGGAGAAACCTGTTGTATAAATAGACATTTTAACAAAAGTGAGACTTTTATCTCACTTAAGAGAAAAAAAATTTTGATTAAACTTAAACATTTGAAAATAATTACCATGTTTTCCCAGCTCTAGTCAAATATATTACTTCAATTTATTAATCATCTTCAATATACAATATATAACTCACAAGACTGGGAATGTTACAATACCAAAACCTTTCACAGCACTAGTTACCAGTTACCAGAACTGTAAGAAATCTTTAGTTACATATCAGCTTAATAGTTAGAATATAGAAGTAGACATGGCTAAGCTGTGGTAAACAATAGTGCAATCAAACAGTAAGGACCACAAAATATATTCTTCTTCCTTTTTAGCTTGTCTTCAATGGCATCATTAACTGAGTATAAAACTTATCTTAATACATTTTAAAGTAACCCTATATTTCTTTAAGTTTGGCTATTTTACTCTTGAAATGCATTATCTTACTTCAATGGCATCATTAACTGAGTATAAAACTTATCTTAATACATTTTAAAGTAACCCTATATTTCTTTAAGTTTGGCTATTTTACTCTTGAAATGCATTTCCTATGAAATACTGAGACTATTAATAAATTCCTATGCCATGAATAACTTGTAGCTAAAATGAAATAATTTAAAATTTTTAAAACGTTTAAGTAGTGGCTTTGTTTGTATTTTTCCAACTAAAACTTGGAATTGCATAAAAAATTAAGAGGGGATATAAATATATGTAAATAGAATATCTTAAGTACACAAAGGAAGTTAATCTCTTCACCTATATTAGTAATATGATTTTTTTAAAACATTGTTACTGAGTTTAATGCACTCTCAGTTACTCTGCTAAACTTCTTTTTTTTGAAAAATAACAAAAAGAAGTATACAAATAGATACAGTCCAGCTGTCTTTTATCTCACTGTTCTTTGTAATAATAAATCTTTACAGTTTTTTTATCCTAACAGAAATATCTCTAAACAAAACTTGGAGGAAATAGTAAAGAGAAAACAACAATAAAGATTAAAAATTAGTGCTTTGCTATTATAAAGCCAATTATCATGGCCTTTTAGAAGTTTTGGTTGTTTCTTTAGGAAGGTATCCTACATGCTACCCATGTGACGCAGAGGCTGCTATACGGAAGTCACTGGGGAAATGCCACAGCAGACAAACAAGCCCCAGGACCCACTGCACTTGGCATGGATGGTGAGCAGAGAGGGCAAGGGAGAGGCATGGCACCTAAGCACTGGGACCTCCTGGAAGTCTGACAGTATTTGAGGAATTTTCACTTCTCATTCTTTTCAGCTGATTTGAAGAGCTTAATCTTTTAAAACTGCCACTTGTATCATCAATCTCTAAACCCACTGTTTTATCCAAATTTCATCTGAAAAATACAGGATGACTTTACGGGGGTGGGGGGAGGAGGACAGGAGAAATCCTAGATATCAAGGTTGAGACAGCTTTTATAGCTTAATGAAAAGCTATACCCTTACAGAATTCACATCTGCAAAACACAAAAGTCCAATATGTTGTCAGCCCAGTCGGAGATAATAGATCAGTTACTTTAGACGGATGTATAGAACTTTGCACTATAATTTTCTAAGTCATGCTTTGCATGAATATTTCCTTCCTCAAGTCCTGTTAAAAATTACTTCCATGAAGATTAAAGTAGTGCCCTCTTTATTCATGAAAATTAGATAAAGTATCTCTTAAATTATATCAATATGTACACATTAAATGAAGGATTATTAACCAAAAGCCATCAGGAAAGATCTTATTGTAGAATTAAATAATTTTTATTTTCAAGGTCAAGAATATGATAAAGTATTTTCAGGCACTATTTTAAGGAATGATTAGCTATCTGAAAATAAAGATAAGTTAGCATAATTAACAGACTTAGTCTAGCAAACAAATGCTTTCTCTGAGGGCTTTAATGACACATTCACTTTATTTGCAATCTTGGGTTTTCATGACTAATGATTCATTTAATGTGTGTGTGCTGCTGTGTTCTCAAGCATGAACTATGTCAACAGGATAATCTACTGATAAGAGAAAGTGAAGTTTTAAGAAACTGACCCAGTCTTTACTTGTCTCAGTACATATTCTTCTGAAAATATTTCCTGTTACTTAAGTTGTGAACAAATGAGAATGCCACATGAGCAACAAACTGAGTGAATGCAGATTGTTAGTGACTAAGATGTGGGGTGAGGGGCTGGAGAGAGGCCAGCTGTGTTGGTTAGCCAATTTCCTGTGTTCCACCTTCGCTACTAAAATATAATAACTGGGTAGGTAGGGCTCATCTAGAGCCAGAATTAGGAATATGGGTGGAGAAGCTAGCTCAGTTAGGGCGATTAATGAGGAGAATAAGTGAGTTTTAACTGATTTCTAGGATTAGCTAGAGGAGCGATATGAGACAGTGGGTTGGGGAATGAGCTATTTTGAGCATCTTTTAAAGACCAGAAATCCCTAATATCTAGGAGGAATAAAACATATTTAGGTTAGTGCTAATCACCTGATGAATCTTGTTCCAAGGTTTAGATTCAGTAGGTCTGGAGTAAACCTAAGAATCTGCCTTTCTATAAGTTTCCAGGTGATAAGGATGCTGCTGGTCCATGGACTACATTTTGGGTAGCAATGCTCTAGACCAGAGGTGGAGAACCTTTTTTCTGCCAAGGGCCACTGGGATATTTATAACATCATTTGCAAGACATAGAAAATCATCAACTTAAAAATCAGCCTACTATATTTGGTTAAACATTTAATTAACTCACCCCTAATGCTTTGGCAGGCCAGATGTTCCCCACCTCTGCTCTAGACCAATGCTATCTGGTAAAGTTTTTGCAACGATGTATATACTCAACATCTGTTAGTCCACTGTGGCCATTGAGCACTTGAAATGTAGCTAGTGCACATGAGAAACTCAATTTCTACATAAAGTAATTTAGATTTAAATAGCCACTTGAGCCTAGTGGCTATAATATCGGACAGCACAGGTCTAGACATTCGCGGGATGACTCCTTTCCTAGTCACAGCAATGTATCATAGTTCCCAATTACCTAATCCATTAATTCACTTAAATTAGCATTTCCTTTTATTAAATACAAACTGTAAAGTTAGTTTCTTTATATTGTCTTCTTCCTAAAACTTTGCTAGATGACCCACAATGAATGCTCAGGCAAGGAGAGATGAAAGGAGCCAATTTGCAGTGGGACAGTTGATGAGGAAAGGGTAGTACATGGCAGTGAGAATTTGAGCAACCATCATATACTGGGTGCATGGGAAAACATGAAGCCAGGAACTGGGAAAGAAATTCAGAGAGGGAGGTGGACACATGGTGCAATATAGAAACCCACACCTGAAACCTATATGTTCATGTTGACCAATGTCACCCCAATAAATTTAAATTAAAACAAGAAATAAACTCAGAAAATGTAAGTGAAATAAAAGGGAGGTGGAAAGACGCTAAAGAGAAAAATTAAGTTTACACTGAAATTATACTTAGGCCTGACTCTGTCCCTTTCCTTCTTGAAAAGCACGTTCTTCCTCAGAAAAATGAGACTGAAAGGAAGTGGATGTTGGTTGTGATTCCTCTCCATCCCTCCCAAATTATCTGCATGTGTAAGAGCCTAGCAGAGAGGAAAGGTGGCCACTACAGCTCAGCTTGTGCGTGGACTAGCACAGGGGCCTCACCTGCACTCCCCAGAGCTGTAATCAGACACCCTAGAGAAATTCTTCATCCTGTTTTCTCTGTAACCCCATCTATTACAAGAAGCTGGTTCCTCTGTGATACTGCCAGGGGCCTAAGGAGGCTCTGAGGGCACTACCCTGGCAAACAGGTGTGAGTGAAGTCATTTGGATCCTACAAACGCCACATGACAAAATGTACCAGGAAATGTGCTATCATTCAACAAAAAGGATATCGAAATGGTCATTTTAAAGGATTCCCCTAATCCAAGAGCCACTTGCAGGAAAATTGTACCTACCTAAAGATTCCATTAACTGAGGTTTTACAGTAAATATAAGAGATGGTATCTAAGATTGAAAGATCAACATCAAACCAAAAAATTCAGTCATTTATATCTTCCTTTTCCATTCTGAAAATGTAATAGCTTAAGAATCTTCTCTATTGGCAAAGAGGTATTTGAGGAAGTGAAAATCAATAAAGATCTTCATATTAATTCATTTTTGTCTAGAGTTCCCACCTCCTTGTTGGACAGGGAGACCGGGCATGTGTTTTATTTTCCCAGGGAAGTGTCTGGAAGAGCAGGACATCGTGCAGGCTGGGGGGCAGGGGACAGGGGACTACAAAAGGAACTGGAAAAGGCCTGTGATTTCTTAGGTGTGGGTAACATTAACATTTTAAGTGAATAACTTTTTACTCTATTAAGCTACCTGGTATAATTCTCTTTGGAAAATTTCTACTAATTCACAACTTAGGTAAAATATATAGTCAGACACACTTGGTCATGAACCTACCTATCAGGTTTATTTATTTTTAAGATATCCACATTTTATGATTTTTCTAGTAGTTAGATACTAAAGTTATAAATAAGAATAAAATGTCAAATAATTAAACTTCTTTGATATAATTAAATTATGTCTGACAATAGTTCATTTTAATGCTTTCCCATCAATATTTCTCTTTACGCATTCAGCAAAGAGTTGTCTAGAACATATCAATGAGAGCATATTTTGTGATTATAAGTGTGAATATGCATATAAATGTCTATGGGTGTATATACATATATGTGTGTATATGTATATATGCATGTGTATACATTCCTATTGAGCACCTACCTAAAAGGTTACTTTATGAAAATTGTCACCACTGGGTCAGTACAGTACCCTGCTTACTTCTTATATATAGAAGATTTTTAAATATTATAATTACTTTTTGGCATATAATATCTAAAAAGAGATTATTTGAAGTATTTTGTGACTTGTTGATATGTACGCTTTGGCTTTCAAAGATTTGATAATTGCAATGTTGACTCCTAATGAGCTACACTGAAGTATGGTGGTTAGAAAAAGAAAATAATATCTACCTGATAAGATATAAGAATTACGTGAGATAATAATAATAATGTAAAGGTCTTTAAAAATTTTAAATTTCTCTTGTTGGGAGGAAGTTCATGTCAAGCATAACTTTAGCTAGTGGGTGAGTCTGGGTGACCGATCAGTATACAAACCACAGTTGAGACATTGAAGAAATTCCTGAATGTCTACAGTTACTATATATAAATGCAAGCACAGCATTAAATAATTATTAAATTGAAATGGAAAAATAAGAAAAAATGTGGAAAATTTGGTTTGGAAAGCATAATGTTGTTAGACAACAGAATATGTAATTTTATGAAACTATCCAGGAAATTTTCTTAATGTGCATACCTACTCTTTATGATAGGTTGACAAAAATTGGCTTGCCTAAAATGTTTATCATTTGTTGATTATGGCATAGACACATGTTCACAAATTCTTAGATACAGAATATTTATGCAAAGTCCACATCAAAGAACAGAAAAGTGCCTATAGCTAACAAAAAGGTACTTAGGTAGTAATAAATTAATCCCATTAAAACTGACATTAACACTAAGTTTTACAATAGTAGATGTTGGACATGCAAGAAAGAGACAATTCAGGCAGCAACACCGTGCATTAAGATTTGCGTTCATTCATTCATAGTATTTGAGGGATTTTAACCCTATTATTTGACCACAGGACACTAGGAATCTGAGGTGATACCAATCTAACATTCAAAATACATCTTTATATATCTTAGTCCTCTAACCAACGATTTTTGAGGAGGAAGCCAATGCCTCCAATAATGAGACCTAAGAAGTTTTAGCCATATACTATTATGTGAGTGCACAGTAAGAACATTCCATCTGACCAGGTTTAAGGAAAGCAAACATTCTGCAATTTCACCTTTTGGACAATGCAATTGTCTCATCCTACTGTTTTACTTATATGAGCAAATTTGAACATATCAGGTTTGCACAGTAAGAAAATAGCTTTGTGGAATGTATTTTTTGGCACAAAAATATTTTCTAATACCTCAAATCAAAATTTTCACCAACGGCACAATATCAAGCCATGGAGGTGCTTCAGTGGTGCTTACTTATCTGGGCAGAAAACTACACGAACAGTCAACTGCTTCCAAGGACTTTGTATTAAATAGCCATTACTTCCCTTCTAAGGAATAGCACCAATATGATTACACCTCAGACTGGGGAGTGCTCCTTCCAAGCTCTTTAATTCCCTGGAGAATTCGCTTCATATGACCCACTTTCGATATCCCCAGGTCCTAAACGAAAAAGGAAAAAAAAAAAGAGGTGGGAAGGTAGAGAAAGAAGTTTATTGACAAGAGAAAATTGGAGATTAAATATTAAGCTTATAATTAGCATTCACTTCATTTACTTTAGTTTATATTTAATGATTCAGGAAGTAAAAGCTAAAGAATAAGTTTATAAAACAAAAATAACCTGACACTGAAAAATTACCAACCAATAAAATACACAAACTCTTAAATGTACATTCTCATGAATTATATACAATGGCAGTTCTTCTAGAGTCTAAATTAGTTTCTCTTTGCACTTCTTTTCTTAAGAAACACAGGTCCATTTGGGATCTCTGTGAAACGATAGGTGTGACACATGGGTATCCACAATTAGCCTCCAGGCAACTACACACTTCCTTGGTAAAGTAAACTTAAACGTGAGGCCTAATCCTGAAGGAAGACACCAGTGCCCATTACCTACATTTGGAACACAAATGCAGTTAGTTGCAGCTGCACCCACAGTCTTTGATTTCTGGGGAATATTTAAGTATTCCTCACACTTTGTAACGTATAAGCGAAAAAATTTCTTAGACATAGGTATCTGTGGGTTGGTGTTTTTCCTCCACCTCTTTTGGCTCCTTTCCCTCAGAACTCTTCTCATTTCTTAAAGAACTATTTTCTATAAAGAACCAAGATTCAATAGTTAATTTTCAGAAATGGATGCTGATTGCAGAGTGTGTGGCACAGAGCAGGCACTTAGCAAATAAACACCTGCTACAGGAATGATGAAAGCCATCTAAGCGAGCCATAATATCCACTATCTGAGAAACTAAATGAAAGGGTGATGGCCTCCAAACACGACAGCCTTCTTCAGGTGTAAGGGGGATAATATGTGAAGTGGAATATTTAACTTTACAAAACAGAGTTTAAAATATTTGAAAATTAATAAAATGATTAATTCCAAAGCAGCCTAGAAAACAGGATAAGGTATCACAAGATTATTTTTCTGAGAAGATAAAAATTCCAAATATCCACTTTGTTCTGCAGACTTAGAGCACTGTTTACTTTTAAATGAAATAGATCAACCTGTTTTAAGTACACACACACACACACACACACGCAGTTTCTCTCTCCATAAACTTTATGAGCAATCTGAATTCCATAGCAGCAGTGTTACTGAAGCCTCTGAATCCTGGAAAATACTCTTTCTATAGCCAGTGCTCTTTTCAAGCTTGAGATAATTTCAGGGTAAAATTCTTACAATATTTAACTGACCCTGAAAAATATTTTCTCATATGACACCAGGTCATCCACAATCAGTCTTAAGGCAACTATGTATTTCCTGAGTGTCATCCACAATCAGTCTTAAGGCAACTATATATTTTCCTTGCTTTTGCTAAAATAACAAAAGCAAGGTCAAATCCTAGAGGAAGATTAAATTGCATTTATAGTTGTATTCAGATTCTTTGATTTGCGTGGAATATTTAATATTCTTTATGCTTTGTGATAACATAGTTACCTGGGGGAGCAACCCAAGTGCCTATTAATAGACGAGTGGGTAGAAAGTTACGGTACATATGTAGAATGGAATATTACTTAGCCATAAAAAAGGAATGAAATCTTACCATTTACAACAGCATGGGTGGACCTAGAGGTTATCAGACTAAGTGAAATAAGACGGAGCAAGACCATATATTTTCATTTACATGTGGAATTTAAAGAACAAAATTAATTTACAAACAAAATTGAAACAGACTCACAGATGTAGAGAAAAGACTGATGTTTGCTAGATGGAAGAGGGGTTAGGAGACGGGTGAAAAAGGTAACGGGATTAAGATGTGTAAACTGATAGTTACAAAATAGTCACAGTGATGAATAGCATAAGGAATACAGTCAATAATACTGTAGTAACTATGTACGATGCTAGGTGGGTACTAAAAATATGAAGGGGTATACTTTGTAAAGTATATGATTGACCACCACCCTATACAAAAAACTAATACGAAATAATATTGAACGTAAATTGTAATAAAAAATTTAAAAAATTTATTACATTCTGAAAAAATATATATTTAGCACTACATATTTTATTTTAGGCCATTTGCACATTGTATTCTCAAGAATAAAAGCTCTGAGAAGCCAGATTCTACTCAAAATTAATATTGCAGTATAATGAAATGAATGTTTCCCATAGAGCTACACTAACTTCTTAGCTATATTTTCTTTCTTTTGAGTTCAGTACTTTCATGTTTTCTAGGAGTTAGGCTGTGACAAAGTTATGCCTTGATATTAGTTATATGTTTCATAATTTATTTTTCATAGTCTTTATTATTGGCTTTTGCTTTCTTTGGATTAATAGGCCTAATTTTGCAGAGGCATGCTTTGTAGATACTGAGTTACCTTTCTAGTCACACATACACAACTTTCCAAATAGAAAAAAAACAAGAACCAACCAAACAAAAACCACTGTGTCTTTGTCATTTTCTTTGGTGTCTATCAGTTTTTCCTACTGTCTTCCAGGAATAAAAATAATGCAATCAATCAGTTTATTTGTCTGTTAAAGCACATTAGGAATTTTCTCCCTTTGTCACCTTTGGACGGTCACATTACTATCTCTAGCTGTTTTGGTGATAAGGCAGTAACACCTGAGCCAAGATCTGAGAGGACGTAACCAGGTGGGGTCAGGAGGAGAAGCATACTATCAGAAGGTACTCTCCTAAGGTGAGAATGAGTTTATTATTTTTAAGCAAATGAAATAAGCAAGGGGCCAGTGATCCCACAGCAGGTTAAATAAACAGGCAGATCCTGCTGGCCTCACAAAGATGTGAGTCTTTATTCTAACAGAAAGGAGAAGCCACTGAAAGGTTTTAAGCAGAAAGTGATGTCTAATGTTAAAATTATCACTCTGGTTGCAATGGGAATAATGTGGTAGAGAGAGCAAGAGTAGCAGTGGAAGGGAAAGCCAGGAAGCCACTAACCTTACACAGGCAGAGGGTACAGTACCATGGAGTAGGATATGGATAGGAGAAAGCAACCTGACTTTGTGATGGGCTTAATGAGTTAGGGGAAAAGGATAAGAAAGCGGAAGGTGCCAAGTATGACCTTGGGTTTCTCTGGCTCAAGCACCTGGAGAGAGAGAAGGGTGGTTTACTAAGAGCACTGGAGAAGGGGCAGAATGGGAATGGGATAGGAGCTCAAAAGTTTAGTTTTGGACATGTTAAGATTGACATGCATGTGTGATAACCAAGTATCAAGTAGAATAATCCTAAAGTTCACAAATGAGGTCAGGGCTGAAAATACAAACTTGTGAACCACTGATATAATATATTCATAGACAGTGTAGGTAATCCTTCACATTTAGAGACGTGACCCTGAAGGGTCTGCTGTTTCTGGCAGCTACAACCACAGAGACCCAGGGCAACTCATTCTCTACCTTCATGGTTTTGTTCTACTGAAGGCTCTCTCTGTAAAACTATTTTTCTCCTTTCCCATTTCCCCACACTCTGTTTTAGAACCAAAAGAACTATCAATGCAAATTTCTAAAACAAAACTTTTAAGAAAGAATGCTATTTATATTAAAAATAAAAACAAAACAGAACCAAAGGTCCCATGAAAGCTGAAGAGAAAGTTTACTAAAATAATTTTTGACTATCTACACTTAGCTCTTATTCTTTTTTTCCAGCCTGGTCCTTCCACTCTAACTTTGACTTAGTATAAGTATATGCTCTTTTTTTTTTCATTCTGCAAATATTTGCTTCACTCACTGTGTGTATTTTCATGTTTATATGTGTTTGTTATGTACACATATATAATGAGCATGCGCGCACACACCCACACACTGTCTAATCTTTGAATGATGCTTATCCATGGAAAATGAGATGCACAAACTTCTAGAGGGCAGATACTCCCCAGGGAAGCTGGTAGAACATTAATCAGTAGCTATTCAATAAATGTTGCTGCCTGCTGATGATATCAGAAGCTACATAAATAAGTTGGAAATAACGATCCCTCACATTTATTTTGTTGTGTACGTTCAAGTTTTGAAGCCAACCTTTACTTTATGAGCTCTAACGCCGTATCTTTTGTTGTATTCTAGATTTGGGACTCTCAACTAAGAAAATTAATTAATCTATTATTTTATTACTAGAGGCCTGGTGCATGAAATTCATGCATGGGTAGGGTCCCTAGGCCTGGCCAGCGATCAGGGCCAATTGGGGCCTTCTTTCTGGCTGTTGGCTGGGGCCTTCCTTTGTTCCATGCCAATTTGCATATTAGGCTTTTATATATATAGCTTATTCTGGGCTAAAAATGTTTAGGTGTAAATGTCTGTCATTGTGCTAAAATTATATGACTCTGCATTCTAAACAACTATACATTACCCTTTATCTGTTCAAAAATGTCTGCTAATGTACTTATAGATAGACACAGTTCATGAATTTGTCAGGAACTAACTGTATCAAGCATTTTAGAAGTTGGTCTACAGGAAAGGGATCACTCCAACAAATACTGAAGGCTTTGTCGCTTGTTTATTAAGCACCTTGGAATTTTAAGATGGCAACATGTGGTAAAAAAAGGTAACATGACAAATCCTACTCCTAACTCTGAGACCCAAGAGGCTACTTTGGCCATTTTTACTGTTGAGTCTCTACCGATAGAATGAAAGGGAATTGCTGTAGACCATGAATTAATGATTTTCCTTTTCCATCATAAATGACAAATAGGCTCTGAGCTGCTTCTAGTAAAAGGCATAATTTTTACTTCAGTTACTAAATAAAACACATTTATTTTTGAGAAGAATACAATTTTAATAAGTCATAGAAAGAAATTTGAATTTATTGGTCTAGTTGTTCCTCTGACATCAATTTAGAAATGCAAAATCACAGGACTGCTATAGGTATCTCACCTAGTTCCATATATTAGGAAGGCTTTGTCATTGACATTTTGAGTTAATTTTTAGTTGTTAGCCTTATATTAGATTTTTAAAGTTATTTTCAGCAACAATTATCACCTTTCATGCTAATCCAGTAGAGTGAGCAGATGGAAACATTATCCATTTAAAAATATTAGCATATACGGACAGCCATACCAATGAATGCAGAGAAAAATTACTAAAGTCATGCTAAGCTTTAGCTATAATAGCCAGAGAAAGATTTTGACAGGAAAATATTGCTGACATTCTTGTTTTAAAAGCATACAAGGAATTCAGACCACAGGACAATGCATATTAGATTATTGCATGTTTGCATAACATAAGCCAAGCTATAAGCACATAACAGGAGAGGCACAGGAGGAGGGATTTTGTTTTGCAAGAAAAACTTTCAAGAGCAAAGAGTAGCACAAAGGAAATACCTTAAGATCTCGCCTTTCCAGATGCAAAAGTTCAGCCCCTCTGATGTCATGACGGATGAAGATTTCTTTGTACTCTCCCAAATTGATCAGATCCAGCCAAGCAGCAACTTCCTCTGTGCCCCATTTCTGAACTACCAAAGTTAAGAGCAAAACCCCCTTAATTTCTACATGCTCAATGCATTACAAAGCAAAGGTTGGCCAAAGGAGATGCAAACAGAATACAGCAGCAGTGCTAGCAGAGGGAAAGGTTAAAGGTGTTTCAACAAAACTACAGTTCCATTTCTTCCCCATGCAGGTCAACATAAGGACCACAAAGACATTCACTGCAGTGCACCTGTGTCCTTAGCGTTCGCTCAATGTCCTCGTTAAAGCCACCCAAACTACACAGTATGAACAAAAGATGTATTTCTCATAATTGGGATTGGTAGTACAAGGTCTAAATAAGTGCTGATGATTTCCTTAAGATCATATATGAAACTAGTTATAGTTTAATTAGCTACAAATGCTAATTAAAATTTAAAATCTAACACAGGGTACTAAATTTTACACAAACTTCTGCCTTAGGTCTTGCTGACTTCAAGTGCTGCCTTTATTGATTCTATTACTATTGATAATTATAAAAATAAATGTCCTGTTAAACTGTTTTAACATCATCTAAAAAATAGTCAATACTACTCTAAGATTAATTGGATTGTTATTTTTCAATATGTATAATCACTGTTTTACATACTTGACTCAACATTGATTTGCTATTTAAAAGCCTACTTATTTGCCATATTTGGTTTTGAAATGCCCTTTAAGAGCTGCTCTTTGATTGTCAAAAATCAGATTATATCACTTTTGACAAGGTGATAGCCGACTCAGAGAAATTAGAAACTGATTTGATTGTGAAAGGCACCGACCATCATATACAAAGAACTTGAAGTTGCTTTAGCACTAGCATAGCGTTAAATGGAAGCACTAGGGAAAGGTGGGAAGGGAACTAGAAAGACAACTTCAAAGAGAATTTAATCTTTGCTTGAGAATGCAAATGTCACAGTAGATTGCCAAATGGTGTAGTAAGTCCTTAAAACAGGAGAAAGAAAATAGAGAACTTTAGGTAGAAAGTATATTTAACAAGCTAAAGGAAAAGATGGAAGTTTCTATGTTCCATTTATCGAAATGATCCAGATTTTGTATTTTGAAGAAGAGAAACAAGTTAGACGCTGAGGCCTTGAATTGCCGGTGAGCGAGACAGAGAACCAGCTGCATAGGTGCACTGACAGCCACCAAACCAAGTAAAGCAAATCAGCAGCCACTGCATTTTCTTGTGTGCTTCATAACTACTGATTCCTACTGATATTGGACATATTTTAGGTACAATATAATTTTTTATTATAGTAAAATGAACATCAAATGAAACCCCCCATTTTAACAATTTTACAGTGGCATTTAGTACACTCAACATGTAGAACAATGACTGCCACTACCTAGAGCAGCGGTTCTCAACCTCCTAGCCCTTTAAATACAATTCCTCATGTTGTGACCCAACAATAAAATTATTTTCGTTGCTACTTCATAACTGTAATGTTGCTACTGTTATGAATTGTAATGTAAATATCTGATATGCAGGATGGTCTTAGGCGAACCCTGTGAAAGGGTCGTTCGACTGCCAAAGGGTCTCGACCCACAGGTTGAGAACCGCTGATCTAGAACATTTCATCGCCTTAGTGGAATCACTGTAATCAGTTGTTTTTCTGTAATGCTATTCGTTCCCTCCCATTGTGGATCACCTACCAGGCTGTGAGCTTATCTTCTGCTTCTGAACCTTTTCCTTTTTAAATTTTGGCACTATGCGAAACACTGTGCTTCTGCTGTTTCTCTTGGTGCAATCCATAGGAGGCTCCTGTTCGAGTGGAGCAAGAAGAGAATTTTCTCAGGACAGTAAGAGAAGAAAACCCACTCTAATATTAGAGACAACGCAGGACTCAGCTACTAACAAAAAACATTGCTGACGGGATAACGTCTTCAAAGTTCATGCCGTCATATTACTGAAAATGTAGTGATTCCCATGTTACCTTGGTTCACATAAAAGTAATATTCAGAATTTATTTTCCCCTGGATATCTCTTTTGCAAAAGATGGATTCAAATTCTATCATCATCAAGTTGACACTGATCGAGAAACAGGCTGAATTCTACATACCTCGTCCTCATTTGGGTGGAGGATGTAATAAAGCCACGGGATCTCTGTTAGCTTCTGCAGCTCCACCTCCACAGAGTGTAAGGCACTGGACACCCGCTCCTCGTGTGGGGATTCCAGCTGCTGGTTACAGCAGGTCAAAAACAAAGCAAAACAAGGCTCAGTGCCCAACCTCAAACAGAGTAAGTTATTTTATTTGATAATGAACACCCTCATCGCTTATTAGGCTAGGCTAGGTTGTGGTTATTGCTGTAGTTGTTTTTAATATAAAGGAATATTAGGAAAGAACAAATAACCTTATATGGGGTTCATTGAAAAAGACCTGGAAAGAGTTATCCTTACTTCCCAGGATATAAGTAATTAGTGTGACCTTTGCTCTAGTGAGTAATCTGATTACTTATTTGTGACAAAAATCCTTTTGATTTACATAGATCACTATGTGAACAAACAATAATATTTTTTAAATTGGTCAAAAAATAGATCATATAAAAAGAACTGCTTGGCACAAAAATCTCCTGGAAAATAAAAATAATAAGTTTAATAAAAAAACAACAACCCACAAACCTCAGAAAAATTTGTGATGAAAAATTGTTGTGAAAATCAGGGCAAGGCAAAAAGCTAAATGGCTTGTAATCTGGAAGAGGTTTAGAAACTTCAACAATAATTTAACTGGTCTCCTATTAACCACCCATTCGAAGCAGTTATTAGAAAGCACTTATAAATTCAATAAATAAATAAAGGTGAAACAAACACTATTATGTACAGAACTAGAAGGGAGGTGACTGATTCCTAGTCCCAGACTTGTTACTAACTTTGCAACCAAGGGAAGGTCCATTGATTTCAGGAGTCTTAGTTTCCTCCTCAATGAACAGTAGAATATGACTAGATTATTTCTAAGGTCTCGTCTAGTTAATCAGTATTTTTATAAAGTACTTTAAAATTGTAAAGTAACACATATAGGTTCACAGAATTTTAAACTAAAAGTTCAGAGAGAATGTTACTGTTATCTATTTGGACGCTATTTTTCCCCCTCTGTTATTTAAGGTTTACCATTTCTACTAGTTAATAAAAATATGGAGGGACCTGGCTGGGTAGTTCAGTTGGTTAAGCCTTGTCCCAATACACCAAGTTGCAGATTCGATCCCTGGTCAGGGCACATACAAGAATCAGCAAATGAATTCATAAATAAGTGAAACAACAAATCAATGTTTCTCTTTCTTTCTTTCTTTCTTTCTTTCTTTCTTTCTTTCTTTCTTTCTAATTTATCTCTCTTTATTTCTCTCTCTCTCGCGCAAAAAATAAAATTAAAATATAGAGATTCTCCAGGTTGTCATATAAAATTTACTACTTTCCTTTTATTCTAAAAATATCTCTTATAAAATTGATAAATGGTGATTACATATTTATTCTAGAATCCAGATAAAGAGTAAACTTCAGTTGCTCTCAAATATGATTCTCTTTATTGTGATATCAATATTGCCTAAGGTAAATTTGATAAAATTTAGTGGTAAACATTTTAGACCAAACATACATTTTTGACAGTGACAGAAGAATTAAAAGTGAGGGAAGTCCTTATGTATTAAAATAACATAACTGATAAATATTAACCAAATAACACTTAATGGATACTTTTGGTATAGAGAACTAAAATACAGAATAACTTATGCTTCTAGTTCTTGTCAACCAGAAATTACCTTAAGTGTACTTCAAATAACACAAGAAAATATACCCATCCTCCATCTAAAAATTGGGACCAAATCCAGCTCACTGGATTTCCTATGGGACTAAGTTTAGAAGAGGAGCAAGAAGATTCTGGTTAATAATAGAAGCATGAAGAATAGCCAAGATTCCCACTGTTTTTATCAAAAGATGTAACCAATATTTCTTCCTAAAAATTATTCTTCATGGCCACAGCAGAAGCAGTCACCTCTTGCCTTAAAGAAGCTGTATTTCAGTTTCCTCAGGAGGTAGGTGAGAGCAATGGACTTTATGTAGCCTTTAGCTCCTCCTCTCAGAATGAAGGATGCTGCGAGGGCCACACTCTTCTGGACTCCAATCAAACAGAAATTCCAACTGCAGTCACTTATTAGTTAGCTAAACCTCCCATTTTCCCACTGTGACAGATACTATGAATTTTACTATCACTTTTATTTAAGTGTATATTTAAATACAAAACAAGAGATAAAATTACAGTCAAGAGAAATGTTTTAAGATCATCACCTACCAATTAAACAGAACTGTTACAGGAAGAACATAGTTGCAACAGCATGTGTGAATAAACCACAATTGAACACTAGGTGGCGAAAAGACCCAACATGCTGGAGCATTTGAAAACACTGAGAATAAAGGCTGACAAGGCAAGGATTCTGGGCAAACCAAACAGGCTATCTATCTATGGTCTTCTAGCACTTATGTGAGGTCAATGGGCCGTGGTCATATTCCTGATGTCCAGCACCAATCTGAGTCAATTTAGGGATACAGCTAATTCCTGAAATTGAGTTTTGAAAAACAAAGTCTAGAAAGTGTCTTTTAAGCAAATCTACAAAACCATACCAATCATATTTTAATGTTAATTTTGAGAACAAACCTATGACTTCCTCTACTTTTCTGCAATAATGAGTTAGTGATACCTGAGGAATGTCTATTGCACTTTATAAAACTCACGTCTCTCAAAACTGACTGGGAAGAGCAGGATTGCATAAACATATGTTGGCATATGTGAGGAGTAATCTCTTGTAGGCCTGGATCATAACTCCCAGAGTTAGCCATATATTTTCTTGAAGGAAAAAGCTAGGTAAAAAGGAAGCTCTAAGGATGGGGGCCAGAAGGCTGCTTTTGCATTAGAATCTGATAAATGCATGATTCCCTAAGGAAGGTAAGGTCCATACATGTGTCATCATTCTTATGTGATCAACCATTTCTTTTCCTTACCAAAGGAACTCTGCCAACCAGTAAAGATTCCGTTTCATTATATAGTGCCTTCACATTGATGGCTATTTCAGTGGCAGTGTCTCTCGTAAGGCTCTAGGAAAAAAAAAATCAAAGATAAGTAGTTCTGTATTAAATTGGAATTCAATCATTAGCAAATATTCTCAATTTTATTCTTCCAATTTAAATTCACATCACAAATATTTTTAAAATCTACCAAAATTCTATTATAATTGCACAATTTCATGGTCATGTTTGTCAGCATAATTACTCTTATAATTCTTGTAACCACCGACTACATTGGATACACCCAGGACCATATCTCCTACGTACAAATACTTATATGTGATAACAGTGTATACATATTCCCATAAAGAAGTTGTCAAAGAAAATCATGTTTTAAAAGGGGGATTATCTAATCATAAGTAGTTCCATCCATGAATTTCACTCTCAGCAGTTCCAACCAGATTGCTTTTTAGACTTTAACTTGAAAGACTAACACTTATTTGTATATTATTATAGTTAACTTTAATTGAACAATTAAACATAAAATAATGTTATCTGTTTTCTATATGTTATATAGCCTTTTATAATATGTCACATTTCAAGGGAGTTATATCCACTCTATTATTAACTTCTACATTAAAAAATTGGGGGGAAAAATAACAGAAGTTATAAAATTTTAATTTCGACATTAAAACGTATTAAATTTATTAGTCTGGTAAAGCAAAATGAAGTAAAATTAATTTCAGTTCACAACTTCAAAAATGAATGAAAATCTTTAATAAAATGCACGATATCTAAGTTTGTTCTATATCTAGGTGTAGGGGAGAAGGTGAAATAGGAAATAAGGAAGAATGGTAGTAGTTAAAGGGAGAAAGAGTAGAAGGATAATAGCAAGGTGACAACTGATGGAAAGTTAAATAGAAAACATGAAGAGATGTAAGAGCAGGAATGGAAAAATGACAGGGAGAAGAAAATAAAAGAAAAATTTGGCCACAAATTTACCATAAGTTTCTGGCAAAAATTCATATAGACTACATCATGTTCATTATGTTCTTTCTATAGAATCAAAATATATATTTAACATCAAAAAAGTCTGTGGAATGAGAATTTACCATTAGCTCCTCACCTCTGGGAACTGGGGGTTGGCTTTATTCAGTGCATGGGAGCAAGCATTCACAGCGTGGGCCAGTTCCTGCTCCAAGAGACAGTGGATTGTGGCTGCATCACAAATCCTGAAAGCAAAAACAAAACAAATGAACAAAAGGCTGTTTTGAGCATTGCTGATTTTTCTGAAGTGTAGAAGTGGTAGATTAAAAATATAATAAAGGTCATTAAGAAAATTTTTTAATGTTCAATTATGAATGGCACAGGGTAGATTTACAAAATTCAAACCCCACTGAAAAAGAATACTAACCCAAAAAATCTATATATATAAAAGGATAATATGCAAAGTGTCCTCTTGGGAGTTCGACCGAGAAAACAGGAGTTCAATTGCTCACTATGATGCTATGACGTGTGCTGACTCCCAGGGGGTGGCGCAGAATGAAGGCCCTGGCCAGCAGCCGGCAGCTGGGGAAGGAAGGCTCCACCCAGCAGCCGGGGAAGGAAGGGTCTAAACTGGCAGTCAGACATCCCCCGAGGGGTCCCGAATTACAACTGCTGGATGTCTGACTGAAGGGATGGGGCCTAAAACAGCACTTGGGCATCCCCCGAGGGGTCCCAGATTGTGAGAAGGCGCAGGCCAGGCTGAGGGGACCCCCGCCCCCACCTCCCTGTGCAAGAATTTCATCACCGGGCCTCTAGTCTTTATATAAAAAGTTAGGCTTAGAATCAGATAAATATATTGAAGTGCTATTTGGAAAAGCAAAATATAGTCACACTTCATTTTGCAGTATCATTGGAAAGTGAGAGGGGTCCCAAATATAGAGAGTAGAAACGTATCTTTTATTCATTGAAAATTCCACCAGGAACAAATACAACAGATTAGGGGAAGAACATTGCCTTATTTATGATCTATATGATAAATGTTTTATATATATTATCTAATTTAATATTCACAACTTAAAAGGTAGCTGTGATTAATTTTCTCCACTTAATGAAGAAATGAGGCTCAGAGAGATTTAATAATATACACAAAACTAATAAGTAATAGAGCCAGGATTTGAATCTATGTCTATCCAGCTCCAAAGACTGTTGTGCCACCATTCTCTATAATTGAAACCTTTAAGAATAGTCCTAGAAAGACAAAATCCTGAAGGGCACTAAGGAAGAGAAGAGGCCAAAGAAGAGAATAGAGGAAAAGTTCCAACTGCTAGAAAATGATGTAAGGTTTTTCAGATGAACAAGAAGGCAAGACTATTCAAACCCTTTTTGCCTCGCACATTTTCAAGGAGAATGATCTTCAATCTGGAAAGGGTAGAACAAAGACGAGACGAGACGGAAATCCTACATAGTTAAATCAAGAGTAAAGGAAAAGAATTTAATTATTAAGGACCATACAATTGATATCCACGGTCTAAAAGAACTTGCAAATGTCACCTCAGCATTCTCACCAATAACCTTGAGAAATCATAAAGAACAAGTTATTTATCAGAATAGAGATGAGTAAATGTTTTTCTAATTTTCAAAGAGAAAGAGGCAAATCAACTCACATCAACATTCCCAACTGCTAACTGAATCTCCTCCTAGATATTTCTGACGTAATTGAAATTCTCTTAGCCTAATATGGAACCCAACCATCATCTTTCTCTCAAAATCTGCTCCTCTTCCTGAATACTATGGCTTTATCAAAGGCATCACAATCCATCCAGCCTTTCACTAGAAACCTTAGGCCCATCCTAATTCACACCCATCTACCAATTCTAGATCCCACTCTACCTTAAATCACCTTCCTCTCCTGCCTCAATCCATCGTTTCCTAAGGATTCTTCTTCCAAGACTCAGCTGAGCGGTCACTTCCTCTAGGCAGCCTCCCTCGCTGCCTCTGGCCTCCTCTGTGTGACACAGCACCCACTGTGTGACCTGTGATAACACTTCAGCCACACTTCTCCCTTCTACTACTCTGCCAGCAAATTAAGAAGAGGGACTGCAACACAGTCACCTTGGCATTCCCAGTGACTAAACTGATGCCTGGCACACAGAACATGTTCACATTATTTGTTGAATACTGAATGAATAAATTTATTCATTTGATATTCAAATTGACTAGTTTGCCTGATTTTCACCTTTTGCAAAATTTAAAAAAACAGATGGGGAACAAACTAGGTTGGCCAAAACCAAGTCTGGCCAAGGTGTACTTTCCTTTTTTGATAAGGTTTTTTTGTTGTTTGACAGGATGATAATATAGGAAGTATATTTTGGTTTCAAGAAAATGATTTAGTTCTATCTTTAAATTTTTGAGGAACATCCAAATGTTTTTTATATTATGTATTAATTACTTGATTGTGGTAAATATTTTACAGTGTCAATATACATCAAATCATCACATTGTACACCTTAAATATAATTTTTATGCTAATTATACCTTGATAAATCTGGAGGGTAAACTGTAAAATGGAGTCCATAGATGTTGTCCATAGTATCTAAAAGAGAAGTATTTACTCTAAAACTAATATCTCTGTGGATAAGAATCTAAATGTACAAAAATGCAGTCATATGAGTTTAGCTGACTCAATATTCATTTTCCCTACATTTTTTCTAAGCAACTCAGTATCTGGCAGTTATCATACTTTATTCTAATTTTGAATTTTGGTTTCTAGCAGTATGGAGTGTATACCTTTTTCTCAGTATCTCTAGCATCAAGCACATTCTAGGTGTCTGAGAAATAGTTAAAGAGGAAAATAAGGAATGAGGGGGTGGGAAGCGGACAGTAGGTAGGAGGGAGGGAAAGGGGGCAAGTAAGCCTCCATCCAGTACCACTGAGCTCTATTTTCCTTCTTTTCTTTTTCAACATTGTAATCGTGTCCAGATGAAGGTGTGGGAAGAATATAATAGCTACCATTCAGAGAACACAACATGTGCCAGACATGATGTGTTAACAAGCACTGTACATGGTGGGTCTCATTCAATATTCACAGTGACCTGGTAAGGCAGCTCTGACTTACCCCCACTGTCCGTGGTGCCTCCTTCCCTCTGAAGGTTACTCCTGGTCTTGGTGATTTTATGTCTTACATGCATAGAACTTGTTATTTCTATCTTTTCCCTTTCTGTCTGCTAAAAATAATTTCTGTGTAGTCTCTCAATCTTTGAAAACTGATTCTCGGGCTCTTCCCATCCCCTCCACCCCCGACTCTCCTTGGGAGCAATGTTTCCATTTCTTTCTACATTCTATCAACATTTAATTAATAATTAATTATAAGGCAATATATGTCAGTAAAGACTGCGTATAAACTGGGGAAACAAACAGTAACAAAGAGTACTGTGTGCTGGGTACATTAGGCAAGCTCGCCATGTGTTTTAAGAAGTGCAAGACCTGTTCACAGTCCAAGAGAACACAGGTGTGAGCATATGTGCTGGAGGGGATCTGCTGAAGGAGAGCAGCAAGTATTGAGGCAGCAAATGAAGAAGGAGCGGAAATTCATCTGTTAGAGACCCCAAATATATGAAATGATGTATTAGGACTCATAAGACAAAATTGGCCAAGACCAGAGTTCTCACAGCCCAAAAGCCAGCAGGACCACCCTACCTCGTAATGAGCTCCTCCGCAGCCTGGGAGCACAGCTGCATCTGAGACACCTCCTCCGTTGCCAAGTCAACAGCATGTTGGATGTACAAATGGGTTCGAAGAACTGGTTTACCAGAATCACACTTTTGCTTATCTTCCCAAGATTTCAGAGTGCTTTCAAAAGCCTATTTAAAAATCAATATTACAATGAACTGTTAGTTTAGAGCCTCAGAAACCCAAATAAATGTGTATTTAGATATTATGCCTTTAAAACATCTATTGTTTTTTCCCCTAATTTAACACATCATTAAATAAATCATAAGTATAAAAAACACACTTTAAAATTTTCCAGCATATCACAATAAATTAAAAGTAATGTAATTGTTGATGATAAATATGTTACTAAAATGTTAAAAAAAAGATAGCTTCAATTTTTTTTTTTTATTATTATCAATGTATAACAGATAGGATAAACATTGGCAGTCTTATTTGTTAGGTGTGTGACTTTAATTAAAAAAATGCATACTCTTGCCCAGCCTGTGTGGCTCAGTGGTTGAGCATTGACCCATGCACCAAGAGGTCAATGGTTCGATTCCCCAGTCAGGGCACATGGCTGGTTTGCAGGCTCCATTCCCAGCCGGGGCGTGTAGGAGGCAGCCAATCAATGTTGATGTTTCACTCTCATTGATGATTCTCTCTCTCTCTGCCTTCCTCTCTCTAAAATCAATAAAAACATATTTTAAAAATAAATAAATGAAAATGCATATTCTAGAAAAGGCAAAACTATGGAGACAGTATAAAGATTGGTGGTTTCCAGGGGCTGGGGTAAGAGAGGGAGAGATGGATAGGTGGAGTACAAGGAATTTTTAGGGCAGTGAAATTACTCTGTATCATCCTGTCATGGTGAATACCAGTGATTAGACATTTGTCAAAACCTACAGAATGAACAGCAAACAGTAATGCAAACTAAAAGACTTGAATTAATAATAATATATCAGGGTCAAACACCTAAATAGAAGGTCTGAAAAAATAAATTACATAGAAGAAAACAGGTACTAAACTTATGGACCTTGGTTGTAAACATTTTAGGAACCTGACCCCAAAGGCAAGGGAAGTAAAGGCAAAAATAAATGAATGAGACTATGTCAAACTAAAAATCTGCACAGCAAAAGAAACCAACAACAAAGAGGCAACTGACTGAATGGGAGATGATATTTGCAAACAATAGCTCTGACAAAGGTTTAAAATCCGAAATATATAAAAACTCATAAAACTCAACATCAAACAAATAACCCACTTAAAAAATGGCAGAGAACCTGAACAGACATCTCCCAGTTAGACATACAAATGGCCTTACTAGCAATTAGGAAAAAAAAAAAATAAATAAAAAAATAAAAAAAATAAAATAAAAATAATAATAATATATCAATATTGGCTAATCAATTATAAAAAATGTGCTAATACAAGATGCAATAATAACAGAGGCATTTATTTGCTTGTCCAGGTGATGAGGTCTATGGGAACAGAATTAAAATTTTCTGCACTTTCTGTAAACCTAAAAAAACCAACCTATTAAATTTTTAAAAAAATTAAAATATTTGTTCATATTTAAAACCACAATGACTTAAATGTCAGATTTAAACGGCAATTTCAACCTTTTCTCTTGATTTCTATTTTTTTTTTAAATATATTTTATTGATTTTTCACAGAGAGGAAGGGAGAGAGAAAGTCAGAAACATCGATGAAAGAGAAACATCGATCAGCTGCCTCCTGCACATCTCCCACTGGGGATGTGCCCGCAACCCAGGTACATGCCCTTGACCGGAATCGAACCTGGGACCCTTCAGTCCGCAGGCCGACGCTCTATCCACTGAGCCAAACCGGTTTCGGCTTGATTTCTATTTTTTTTGGTGATAATTTAAGATATTTTTAGAAGGCTTAATAAAAGTCTGGAGGAATGTTTTTGATTACATACCCTGTCCCTTGTTAGCATCTGAGCTCTGTTCTTGTGCACAATTTTGATAATCCCTGGAGGCTGAACCCATGCTTCACCATCTACCTGCACTGGGACACCCTCATCACCAAATATAGTGATTTTTACTGTACGGCACTGAAATAAAAAACAAGTTATTTTAGAATACAAATCATACTGAGAAATTAACAATCCACATTCAGACTTGACCTTTAGTCCATACTGTGGAATGGTATGTTATAATTTTCCACTTACGATGACATAGTAACAACTGACATGACAAGAAAGTCAATATTTTAAAACGAATATACAGTGTAGGAGTCATCTGAAATAGCTTCCCCAGTGTCCCAAGTAGTGAAGTCAGATTCGATTAGAAAAACAAACCTGGGCTATTCGATGATGCTGTAGTTTAATGACCCTTGAAACCGCCATTTGAACACTATCAAATATTGCAACGACTTCCAGGATCTTGTCATCAAATGATGGTGCAGCAAATATCTGAAAGGAAAAACGACATTACACTTCACTAATGAAATTAAGGTTTAAGTTAAGTCAGGCAATGCAAACTCTGTAATATACATAGTTTTAAAAAATTATAAAAATATTAAGAAAATGAAGTATTAGTAGGAAATGATAACCCAAAGGACAAAGGCATCGCTGAAGATGTCTTGAAACAAACAAACCTAATAAAAATAGGTTTTAAGACCCACATGACATAATACTCATGCTCCTCATAATTCATCTTGGTATAAAATGTATTAAATATCTGTTTATACATAACTCAAATGTCTTGACAAAATGATGCCTGCAGTTTTAACCTAAAAAAACACAACCAAAGGGGATACAGATTTCATAAGGTTAAAGCTAATGAACATGAAGATTATGATCCAGTTCACTTGGTAAGCTTTAAGGGAATCTTTCAAGGTGTTACAAGCAATATGTATATGTGCTTTCTATATTAATACAATAACTCTTTAGGGCATTTGAGAATATGGACAAGAAACCTCAAGGGATAAAAATCATGTAAGACTTACTTTGCTTTGATGTTAACTGGATTTTCACAAAATTAATTTAACCTAAAGTTTTAAATTTCACCTATATTACTTTTCCCCTTTTACTTTCTTTTACTATATCATAAATAATTAGACCTCTGGAAAAAAAATTCAGTATAAAGCAGTGTCCTAATGAAAACATTCACTGAAACTATCAGGACACAAATTTGCAAACATTGATAAGTATCGCTTTTGTCATCAGACTGCCTAGTTTTTTAAAAATATATTTTTATTGATTTCAGAGAGGAAGGGACCCACACTGGGGATGGAGCCCACAACCCGGGCACATGCCCTGACTAGGAATTGAATCGCGACTTCCTGGTTCATAGGTTGATGCTCAACCGCTAAGCCACACTGACTGGGCAGCTTTATTCATCTTAATCTCACTAATTTCTTCCCCTTAAAATATTTAAGAGTAGTGACAGGCTGCTCTGGCGGAGTGGGTCAGTGGTTAGAGTGTCGCTCACTAAAGGGTCTCTGGTTCAATTCTGGTCGAGGGCACATACCTGGGTTGCATGTTCCATCCCCAGCCCTGGACAGGGCTCATGCAGGAGGCAACCAATCAATGTGTCTCTCTCACATTGATGTTTCTCTCTCTCTCTCTCTCTCTCTCTCTCTCTCTCTCTCTCTCTCTCTCTTCCCTTCCACTCTCTCTGAAAAAATCAATGGGAAAATATCCTCAGGTGAGGATTAACAAAAAAACAAACAAACAAAAAATGAGTAGTGACAGGCTGACAATAAACTGACTGCTCATGTTAGTTTTTATGCTTCAATAGGAAGTGAATACATTCACATTGTAAATATTAAAAATTCTTTCCAATATATTTATACTTTAATTCCTGCATGCTTATTTAATAGCTCTGAGAAAATGGGTCAGTAGAACTGTTATATCATAAGCCTCAAAGCAAAGGATCTATTATTGAATGTATGTGACTCTTCAAACAAAGATGGTGATAACACTTCTCATTTTTATGTTATATATACTTTAATAATTGTGTCCTTGCTTTTAAAAATTATTTTTAGAACAATTACCTTTCTTAGGTTGTGTGTTTTTTCTTTTTTAATATAGGAAACTATAAAAAAGGAAACAAAAATAGCACTCAACCTCAATGGTCAAATAAACCCTCTTGACATTTCTAAAATAAAAAAAAATAACAATATCACATAAATTTAGAAAACTAAAAGTACAGAAAGGTGTTTTGATAGATAGAATAATGGCCCCCAACAACCCTAAACAAAATGTTTCTGTCCTAATCCCCAAAACCTGTGAATATTACCTCACATGGCAAGAGACTTTGCAGATGTGATTAAATTAGGGATCCTAAAATGGGGAGATTATCCTAGATGATGTGGGTAGGCCCAATGTAATCACAAAGGTCATTTAAAGTAGAAGAGGAAGGCAGAAGAGATCAGAAAGATGCAATTCGAGGAGACTCAAGTTGCCCTTGTTGTCTCTGAGGATAGAAAGGGGCCACAAGCCAAGGAAAATGGGCAGCCTCTAGAATCTGGAAAGAGCAAGGAAATACTTACATCGTCCTCTTTAGTTCCACCCCAAAAGTTAGTGCCTCCGGCATAGCTGGGAATGTTCAGTACTGCTATTCCTTGCAGACTGGGGAGAGGAATATACTGTCCATCACACTGTAAGGTAAAAAGCTTAGAAGTTAGATAAAAAGAGGAAAACCACTAGTTTGGAAGCCAGTAGTATACCAAAGACAAAGGATGACGGAGGCAAGTGTGTTGGTAATGTTTGTTTCCCTGTATATATTCCTAACATTACTTTTATCGTCTTTGATTTTAATTTAAAAAATTGGAAGTATACATAACTGTAGCAGAAGGTTTTACAGAAAACCAAACTAAACAACAAAAAAGGTTTTACCTCTTCTTTTAACCAAAATCAATCAATACTTATCTTGAGGTTATTTTTTTAGGTCAGTTATGATTTTCTCACTTACAGTATCACTAGAGGCCCAATGCATGAAATTCGTGCAAGAGCAGGCCTTCCTTCCCCTGGCTGCCACCACCGGCTTTTCTCTGACTCTGGCTTCATTCATCCTGAAGGAAATCTGGTCTAATTAGCATATTATGCTTTTATTATTATAGATAATCTTAGTATGTATATTAACTTTCCTTTGAAAGTGGCTGCTGTCAGGGTCCTAACCATTTCATCTAGTACATCTCACAGTTCCCAGTAATTTGCTAGTGCTCTGCATCTGGTTAAACTCAAACTGAGTTTTTTAAGTAGTCAGAACCAAAATCAAAAACACACATGTATATTAAGATGTATCTTATACTCCATGCCTTCTAAGTAATCACTTAGATGAAAATTAAATGATCACTTAAATAAGAAAAAGATATCAATTATACATGACATGAATAAATTCTTACTGAATAGCCTTCATTTTGAAAGAGTTTAGTTTGCAGATGTCATACTTAATATACACGCTATATTTTCATTATGTAATTATTATGTTAACACTAAAAATAATTAATATAACTTTACAAAAATTGCATTTAAAGTTCAATAAAAATTATCTCAATTTTTAAGGCAAATGAGCCTTGCTTGCTTTACTCCTCTCAGTATCATAGACCTGCTCTACTTCTTTTCAGTTTCTAAGCGTGCTATAGTTTGCCCAATATTCTACTCTGTTCTATTTAATGGCAGCCTGGTTTTAGATACTTCATCATCGCATCATAGCTAAAATCCAGGACATATAATTTAAAATATGAGGGAAAACTTTAGGTAGTATTATGTAGTTCCTGTTATATGTTATTTTAAAATGTTATCTCATTTTATTTGAAAACAACCTCAGTAGACTCTATTATTTCCATTTCTTTAAGGAAGAAGGAGGAAAATGACAACTAACTGGTAGAGAATTTTCAAAAGGCTTTATCCAGAGTTAGGTCAGTGAAGGAATAAGAAAAGGAAGAGCATGAACAAAAGTGCATAAAAACATGATTTCCTGGAATTTTAAAGATTAACTTTATTTTCTTGAGCAGAGGATTAAAAATTAAGAGAGACAGAAAGTAAATCCTGGGAGGTTTACAACTGTGAAAAGCACTGAATATCAGCTTAAGGAATATAGGTTTTGTTCTGTAAACACTGAAACACCACTACGTGATCTTTCTGGTACTCCTTTGAATAACTGTCCACCAACTCAAACTGGAAGCAGCTTCACCATTGCTGGGATATGCTATTTATTGGCTGATTCACAAAGAATTTTGACAATAATAGTTTGAAAGAAAGACAACCTGTTCCAAATTAGAAGTTTTATATCTCTGGAATACAAAGCCTGTAGTGTTATTGTTTTTTTTTTTAGATCTTTATTGCTGAAAGTATTACATATGTCCCCTTTTTTCCCATTGACCCCACCCTGCCCCATGTCCCAGGCCTCCACCACCCTACAGTCTGTGTCCATGGGTTATGCAGATATGCATACAACCTTTTTGGTTGATCTCTTCCCACCCTCTGGGATTCCACAGTCTGTTCCATGCTTCTATGTCTCTGGATCTATTTTGTTCAACAGTTCATTTTTTCCCATTAGATTCAACCATTTAAAATAACTCAGAATACCATATAATCTTAGATATAGAATCTAAAAAAAAAAGCTCATAAATACAGAGAAAAGATTGGTGGTTGCCAAGAGGCAGGGGGTGGGGAATGGAAGAAATGGGTGAACTGAATTGTGTTGTGTGTTTTTTTAGTTTAAATGAAAAATTCATAGCAGCTTTAAAGATATATAAATGAATACACTTTGTTTGGATACATGGTATGAAAAAAAAATTAACATCTCATCTTCAAAGGAAGTTCTATTTAAATTGCTTAATTTAACATACTCTCTAATAGTTTAAATATTTCATTAATTTATTTCCATATTAATGGTTTCTTTTTTAAGTCTATGTATTTTACATAATGCATTTAGAAACATTATTCTCAGAGGAGGTCCATGGTTTCAACAGCATGCCACAGCTCAAAAAGGGTTAAAACCCATGTTAAGTGGAGTGTAAAATGCAGCTGCATAAGGAAGATGGTCTTTTTAAAAAATATATATATTTTTTTATTGATTTCAGAGAGGAAGGGAGAGGGAGAGAGAGACAGAAATATCAACGATGAAGAGTCATTGATCGGCTGTCTCCTGCACACACCCCACTGGGGATCAAGTCCACAACCTAGGTATGTGCCCTTGACCAGAATCGAACCTGGGACCCTTCAGTCCACAGGCCGATGCTCTATCCACTGAGCCAAACCAGCTAGGGCAAGGAAGATGGTCTTGCTCTAAATCTGGACCACCAATAGAAAAGATTAGAAATACTATTTCTGAAGAGCTAAAGGAATTAAAGTAATCAGGCCATTCTGATTCCAGATAGTTCACAGTACTTGCCAAATTATGGTTAAATGATTATTTACCTCTGTTTCTTCCTCAAGACAGGGCCAGGAATTGTGCAAGACACTTGGGATAACAAAGATGAATGCAGCATCCTACCTATCCTTAAAGAGTGTGGCTAACTAGAGGATGTGGATGAGAAAATGAATGATTACAGTACAATGCAGAGGAGAGAAGCCAAGTTGATCTAGGGATGGGCTGTCAGGACAACATTTACTAGTGTTAAGCCTTCCAAATTCTTCACCTTTTCGGTGAGTAACATCTAAACTTTAAAAGCATTGATAAATCAAGATAGTTGGTCAAGTAGTCAGTGCTCTAGAGTAGAAAGTATAAGAAGCTTATCTTTACTAGAACATTTAGTTGGCAAGAATTGAGCCAGGCACTCACTAGTCCACATTCCAGAGTTAAAATAACACTTACAATCATAATCCTCTGTTTAATTCATTGAGCGGCAGATGTAAGATTTGCTCACTTGTTGGTATGTCAGATATACCTTCATTAGAAATAGCTGGTTATAAAAAGATACAAGATAGGAATGAAATGCCTATCAGCATAAACAGTGAGTCCTGGACCAAGGGTAAAAGAAAAAAGTCTTAGAAATTAGACTTTTCAGAGCCATGACATGACCCCAACCTTCCTTTTCCTGTTACTGGAGGAGATTAAGTAACTTTTGCTGACCTTAATTTCCTATTTAAACTAGTAAAAAACAAACAAACAAACAAAAAACTAAAAAACTTAAATGCTCATTTACTAACTTGTTAGAAATAATTGGAACAAAAAAGACATTTATGTTAAAACATTCTTTTTACAATAAATGTTTTCAAGGATTTATGAAACTTCAGGCACTATAGGATTGGGTCAGAATTTGGAAATCCATTAGAAATCTATCCTATAAATATACTTCCATGGCTCCATCTTTTTACGGGGTCCCATGACTCCACAGCAGCATTCAAATTTCAGGGCTAATGATTATGATAATTGTGTCACTCATATCCAATGTCTATACCTCCTTAGTAGAAAGTTGTAACTACTTCCATTTTTCCCCCTCAAGTGTTTAAACACTAATCAAGAGGAATTTTGGCCAAATACAATCATTTTTCTAAGTAAGATAACCTGAAATGTCTTTACTTTAGATAAACTTACCTCAAGCTGAACCCTCTGTTCTAAATTCTTGTATGATCTCTGTAGTAACTCCCGGGTTCCAAGGACTCCATACCACATCAAGTTTTTAGTTCGGCTCCTGAAAATAAATGTTGGCAGGCAATTTCAGTAACTACTATTTATTTAGTCTTTAAAGGCAGAGCAAGCAAAAGAGATAATAAATGAAATCAAAGTAAAATTGCCTTCATGTAATAACATTATTACTATTACCAAAATTACCTGCATTTTTCAGGGTGCTCCTCTCTCTTATTATTAAATTCTAATGAAATTTTTGCATCTAATCCAATCCCAAAGTAATTGTTCATGACACATTTTTCTGAATATCCATCTCTATGATAATAAGGAAAAGTACATAAGTCAATTTCAGTTCATAACAATTACAATTTGTACACAGCACTTAAAACCATTAAAGCTTCCATTCCTGAGAGTAAAGTTGAGCAGAAATCACTTCCTATTCACATGAACTATGCACAACTCCAGGATATGTGTGTAAATGCTGGTAACACATAAAGGGATGGTGGGCAAGACAAAATGAAGAAAGAGTCATGGCAATGCTTTTCTACCGTCTCACAAAAATCTCAGTTCTCTCCTACATGAGCCCCCACTACACACACAAATAGAAGGGCTTGCAAGACTCCTCTTTTTTCGTCATTAGAAAGATTCCTCCACTCCTACACTTATCAATGGATAAATACTTAATAAGCAAAACCCTACTAGATGTATTCCATTCTTCCAGGTACTTTGGAAAGTACAAAGTTTAAAATATGGTCTTGTTGTTGAGGGTTGTCATTAGAGAAATGAGATACAGTCAGGCAAAATTAAACATGGAAGTAAAAGGAAGATATATTGAACCGCCAAAACAATTTTAGGAGTTTAAGAAGGGAAGAGATCAATGTGGGCCAAAAGCTTCCTGAAATAACTAAACCCAGAAGCTGGAAGTGGAAGACGACAGATTTGGCAAGACCAAGAAGAAAGGAGGTGAAAGGAATAGCATGAATATGGATATGAAGGAGTCAGTGAATGAAATGTTCCAGAGAAAAGGCGAGTACAGAGGGGAGTCTCACTTCGCCATAGGCTTATTGTCTAAGGCAGTGGTTCTCAACCTTCCTAATACAGTTCCTCATGTTGTGGTGACCCCCAATTTCATTGTTACAAATTGAACATAATTAAAGCATAGTGATTAATCACAAAAACAATATGTAATTATATATGTCTTTTCTGATGGTCTTAGGCGACCCCTGTGAAAGGGTCATTCGACCCCCAAAGGGGTTGCGACCCACAGGTTGAGAACCACTAGTCTAAGGCAACCGCTGGAAGGGACCCACCTCAGGAACAGGTCATGAAAACCACTGTATTGCACAAGGGCCAATGTGCTCATCATTATCAACTGCTGACATTTTCTGATGATTCTTTTTGTACCTGGGACCATATTTATTGTAATACATTTTAAATGTTACCATTAGTATCAAACAGTGACAGGAAAAGCCAAAACAAAATCTATGGAAGTATTTGCTTACACTGAATCTGGATCTGGGTCAATAAATGGCGTTGCACCAAAAGGATCAATATTTGCTAGTAACATTTTGTTGATAATAGAACTCCCAGCAATTGAGGCTGCTAGTCCTGCTCTTAAACCTGGACAGGGAAAAATAAGCATATACAGGATCACATGTTAAGGAAAATCTAGTCCATATTCTTAGAACTAATTTCAAAGCATGGTTTTCAGTGACTGCTCTTCTTATTAATAGAAATTAAGAATTATGACATTGGTAGGTACAAGGCTTTTGATGCTTCTTAGAGTCTATATGTTGCTATAAAAAAAAGAGAAACAGATGAGTACCTACATCGGAGTCTCTTGGTAACCATTTCTCATTTACCATCCCAATGATTCTGTAACCTCAACAAATATTACTTCCTTTGTTATAAAAAATGAAGTATTAAGACTGTAAGAAGTTTACAATAAAGGCTGAATTACTCAAAATGTCATGGAGTTAACATTTCCATATTCACAAAGCATAGATAATACTCAACTTAAAATGTTAACATATATACTAAGGTGAAAAATCATGTTGGTGTCAATAATAAGTAGTAAAATGTTAAGTGTAGGTATTAATAAATTTTAGAATATAGTATTGAACATAAAAAATGAAGCATTTTTCTTACCTCGAAATACGCAAACTTCAAATTTATTTATTGGCCATTTATATATCTTTTGGGAAAATGACTACCCAGATCCTTTGCCCATTTTTAAATTGGGATATTTGCCTTTTTATTGTTGAATTTTTAGTTCTTTATATATTCTGGATACTAGTAACTTATCAGATATGCTATTTGCAAATATCTTCTCCCATCCTGTGGACTGTCATCTCAGTAGTTTCTTGATGGTGTCCTTTGAATCACAAATATCCTTAATTTTGATGAAGTCCAATTTATAGTTTCATGTGTTGCTTGTGCTTTCTAAGAAACCTATGCCTATCCCAAGGTTACAAACATTTACATCTATACTGTCTTTTTGTGGTTTTATAGGTTTAGCTCTTACATTTTTATGTATGGCGTGAAAGAAGGGTCTAACTTAGTTCTTATGTATATCTAGTTGTTCCAGTAGCAGTGGTTGAAAAAAATATTCTTTCCCTATTGAATAATTGTCTTAGCACATTTGTTGAAAACCAATTAACCATAAATATTAGATTCTCAGTTCTATTCCATTGGCCTATATGACTATGATGCCAGTTCCATGTGGTCTTGAACACTGTAGCTTTGTAATAAGTTTTGAAATCAGGCAGTATGTCCTTCAACTTTCTTTTTCCATTACAATGTTGTTTTTAACTCTTCTGGGTCCTTTGTATTTCCATGTGAAATTTAAGATCAGCTTGTCAATTTCTGCACAATGAGCAGTTGGGATTTTGGTAAGGATTGTGTGAAATCTAGTCAATTTGAGATGAGTTGCCATCTTAATAATATTATGTCTTCCAATTCATGAACACAGATGCATTTACATTTAATTAGATCTTCTTTAACTGCTTTCAGCAATGTTTTGTAGTTTTCAGTATTCAAATCTTTCACCTTCTTAGTTAAATTTATTCTTATTTTTTGTTATTTTTTATGCTATTGTAAATAAAATTATTTTAATTTCATGTTAAGACTGTTCATTACTAAAAAAAAAAAAGACTGTTCATTACTAGAGAAATGCAATTACTTTTTGTATATTGATCTTTTATACTGCAATCTTGTATTCATTTATTATCTCTAATAGTGTGTGTATGTGTACTCTTTAGGATTTTCTATATGTAACATAAGTCCTAAAGACATACAGTACTTCCTCCTTTCCAATTTGGATGTCTTTAATACTTTTTCCTTTTTCTAATTTCCTAAGCTAAAACCTTCTATACAATGTTGACTAGAATGGAGAGAGTAGACATCCTCCTCGTATTCCTGATCTTAGAGAGAAAGCTTTCACCTTTCACCATTAAGTATGATGTCAGCTGTAGGTTTTTCATAGATGCCTTTTATCAGGTTGAAGAAGTTCCTTTCTATTCCTGGTTGTGTTTTTACCTTCAAATGATGTTGACCTTTTAAAAATGCTTTTTCTGTATCTACTGAGATAATTATGTGTTTTTGTCCTTTATTAACATAGTATGTCACGTTGATTTTCATTATGTTGAATCAACGTTGCATCACTGAGAGAATACTGGTAATGGTGTATAATTGCTTAAAGTTGTTGGATTATTCAATTAGCTAGTATTTTTTTGAAGATTTTTGTGTTGCTGTTCATGAACGATATTGACCTGGAGTTTTCTTGTGATGTCTTTGGTTTTATATCAGGGTAATACTGGATTCATAGAATGGTGGAAAGTGTTTTTTCCTTTTCTAGTATTTGAAAGTGTGTGTGAAGGATTGGTATTATTTCTTCTTCTTCTTTTTTTAATTGATCTCAGAGAGGAAGGGAGAGGAAGAGAGAGAACATTAATGATGAAAGAGAATCATTGCTTGGCTGCCTCCTGCACACCCCCTACTGGGGATCGAGCCCGCAACCCTGGCATGTGCCCTTGACCAGAATTGAACCCGGGACCCTTAAGTCTGCAGGCCAACACTCTGTCCACTGAGCCAAACCAGCTAGGGTGGTGTTATTTCTTTTTTAAACTTCAACAGTGAAGCAATTTGGGCCTGGGCTTTTCTTTATAGAAAGTTTTTTATTACAAATTCATTCTCTCTACTGATTTAAGGTCTACTCAGATTTTCTGTTTCTTCTTGAAGCATTTTTGATAGTTCATTTGTTTCTAGAAGTTTGTCCATTTCATCTAGGTTATCTAATTTGTTTTTCCCTTATAATCCTTTCTATTTCTGTAAAGTCCATGGTGATGTATTATTTTAATTCCTGATTTCAGTAATTTGAATCTTCTATCTTACTTTCTTGATCAATGTAAAGGTTTGTCAATTTTGTTAATCTGCTCACAGATCAACTTTTGGTTTCATTGCTTTTCTGTCTTGTTTTCTATACTCACTTTCATTTATTTCTACTCTAATCTTTATTGATTTCCTTCCTATTGCTGCTTTGAATTTAGTTTGCTCTTCTTGTTTTTCCAGTTTATTAAGCTGGAGAGTTAGGTTTTGAGATCTTTCTACTTTTTTTTAATATAGGCATTTACAGCTACAAATTTTACTCTAAGCACTGCTTTAGTTGTATTAAATAAGTTTTGGCATATGATATATTTTTGTTTTCATTCATATCAAAGCATATTTTATGATTTTTTTCTCTTTTTAAATGTATCTTTATTGTTGAAAGTATTACAGATGCCCCCTTTTTCCCCCCCATTGACCCCTTCAAACCCCCACCCACATCCCGTCTCAGGCCTTCACCACCCTATTGTCTGTGTTCACGGCTTATGCATATGTGCATATAAATTCTTTAGTTAATCTCTTTCTACTCACCTATCTAGCCCCACCTTCCCTCTAAGATTTGACAGTCTGTTCTATGTTTTTATGTCCCTGGATCTATTTTGTTCATCAGTTTATTTTGTTCTTCAGATTCCACATATGAGTGAGATCATGTGATACTTGCCTTTTTCTGACTGGCTTATTTTGCTTAGCATAATACTCTCCAGGTCCTTCCATGCTGTCTCAAAGGGTAAGAGACCCTTCTTTTTTACTGTTGCATAGTATTCCATGGTGTAAATATATCACAGCTTTTGATCCACATATTGGTGCATTTCTCAAATTTCCTTCTGTTATTGGTTTATAATTTCATTCCAGTTGTGGTCAGAAAATGTACTTTGTATGATTTCAATCCTTTTAAACTTACTGAGAATTGTTTTATGGCCTAATATTTAGTATATCTTGGAGAATGTTCCATATGTACTTGAAAAGAATGTGTACTCTACTGTTGTTGGGTAGAGTATTCTGTAAACATCTGTTTTGACTACACGTTTTATGTGTTTTCAAGTCTCCAACTTTCTTCTTGATCTCTGTCTAGTTGTTCTATCCACTACTGAATGAGGGGTACTAAAGTTTCCAATTACTATTATTGAATTGTATTTACCTTTAGAAACAATTTATAGAAGACACAAAGTTGTGTTATATTTCAGGATGTAATTTGGGTTCTAATCTACTCTGGAATGCATCTGGCGCTTTTCATTAATTGAAATAGCTGGCACTTAAGAAGGCCTCTGAGACATCTGCCCTTTCCTTCCTCCTCTGCTGCACAAGTTCTTTGGTTACCACTAGTACAAACCTAATTCCAAAATAAATTTATCTTGTCAGGTCTGGAATAGATTTCTCAGATGTTCCAAATTAAACAATATTTCTAATTCAGAAATAACTGCAGAGAGACTGTGGCTTAAAACTAAAAGGAAACCTGTGAAGGCACTTAAAAGGGAGTAGAATATAAGATTGGATTTACCTTGGGTACTTAGTAAATGCAGATTCCTGGGTTCCACTCTAGAACTACTCGAACAAAATTTCTCAGGGCAGAGACCAGAAACATGTATTTTAGTACTTTCTAGGCAATTCTTATACACACAAAAGTTAAAGAATCTGGATTCTGGTTGATAAATGTACCAAGCACATTCTCCTGAAGGGACATTTATCTTTAAGAACACATTTTAGCCCTGACCAGTGTTTCTCAGTGGTTAGAATGTTGGCCCAAGGACCGAAGGGTCACAGGTTCAATTTCCAATCAAGGGCATGTACATGGGTTATAGGTTCGATCCCTGCCCCAATGAGGGCATGTGTGGGAAACAACCAATCTATGTGTCTCTCTCACATCAATATTCACCTCCCTCTCCCTCCCTTCTCCTCTCTCTAAAAAAGCAATGAGGAAAAATATCCTCAGGTGAGGATTAACAAACAAGCAAAAAAAAGCCCGGCTAGCTTGGCTCAGTGGTTGAATACCGACCTATGGACCAGGAGGTCACAGTTCCATTCCTGGTCAGGGCACATGCCTAGGTTGTGGGCTCGATCAATCAATGATTCTCTCTCATCATTGATGTTTCTATCTCTCTCTCCCTCTCCCTTCCTCTCTGAAATCAATAAAAATATATATTAATAAAAAACACACATTTTAAAAGTTCATAGAAATGAGTAGATATACATTTTTACAAAAATACTTTAAAAAGATACCATGTTTCAGAATATGTACTACCTGGGCAGATTATCCTGGTGTTGAGCACAGGGAGGTTTTCTTTGCTGGCTGCCACAGCTGGGCCAGGGCCAGAGTCAGTCTGGGAACGACTTGCCCGGCCATCTGGAGACCGAGGTGCAGTTTTAACTGTTGGCAAAAGGTCCAGATTAAAAAGAAGAAATGATAAAGTTATAGAAATAAGCAAGCCCCTATAAATTCACAACATAAAATAATTTAATACATATGTAAATCAATCCGTACAACTGAAAATGAAAATATTACACTGTGTTTACCAATTTTACCATTTTCATTTTCTTGAGATTTTACTATATGGAGAAACTTGATCTTGATCTCTCATTTTAAATTGGTGGAGATCATTAGAAAAGAGATGCCTACCATAATTAAAGGTCAGTAATATTCATAATTTGAATGTGATCATCCCATATGTAAAGATAAAAAAATTCTGAAACCTGATAATTTTTAACAATAAAACATATGGGTTATGTATGTTATCAGTGAAACCCTTTTTTCATATATGTTGGATGAATGGTCAAATTTAATGAATGTATTTCCCAGAGCTAATATGTTAACCATGAGCTAAAATTTTCTTCTATAAATGAAAGAGAAAATAGGTTCTTTTTTCAAATGAAAGCAATATACTTTTCCTGTGCTTCTCAATTAGTTATTTATTTAAAACAAAGATTTACCCCAAAGAGTCCCATTATGTTTTGTAAAAGCTCAATACATTTTAAAAATTGTTCCAAAAGAGAATTACTCTCAAAATTAACGACAAAAATAGAAATTTAATTAAACCTAAACTGGAGAATTTTAATGGAGAGCACATATATCTTTAACTAATTTAGGAGTTATTGGCAGGTGTTTAAAGAAACAGTAATCCTCTAACTCAATTTAAAAATACTCAAACTTAATTACCTTTAGACTTCCTAAGACTAATTACAAACTAATTATATTAATCTTACACTCTCTTCTCTGTTCAAAAACAGTCCAGTTACACTAAAGAAAAGTAACTGAACAGACACTCTCTTTTTTTGACAGATGGAAGCTCTGGAGCTAATTTCTAATAAAAACAACCTTTTGATATTCAACTCTGATAAAAAGCAGAGAGCATCCTGCTGGCTAAGACTGATGTTCCATTGCAGGTAAATAAATTAATGTTTCATGGTTCTTAAATGTCTCATTACTCATATTAATATACTGTATTTTGCACATCTCAGACATATGAATCATTACACAAAATAATGATAATGCAATGAGTGTGCTTCAAAAAATAATGATTATTTAATGCAGAAACACTTTTATTCCTGATTCTGACTAAATTGGATTACTCGCCAACAAATAAGATAAAATACTGCATCGTTAAAGATGCATATAATCTGTCTACTTCAATATCAATATCTATAGCTCCATATCTGTATTTCTTAGTTTCCTTTGCCAATTACAATGTAAGTGTGAAGTTCATGTGTGCTGGAATATGCATACAGGAAGTCTGAAAAGGCTAAGGTTGTGGAATATGCCAGACATGTAAGGTCTATAAGGTCTCATTTTGAAGCCTCTTACAGAGTTTTAAATACAGTTAAGGAATAGTCTTTCAAAGTGAATGTAATTAGTAGCAGTGGCAGTAATAGCAATAATAATAATGACAATGACAATAAACACTCATATAAATAGCACTATATATGAGTCACTATTCTAGACACTTTGTGTATTAACTTATCCTTTGCAACAAGTAGGTTGTTATAAAGCAGGTATATTATTATTCCCATTTACAGATGAGAAAGCCACAGAATAGTAATCTGCTCAAGTTCATATGTAATGAAAGTAAAAATGTAATGATTGCAAACAGCTCTAATATAAGTGTTGACTTTACAATAGTACTATGGAAATATTTTCATATTATCTTCTCAATATTTTAATTTCTTTGTTTTAGTCTAGTATATTAATTTTTCCTTTATACAATATAAGTATAAATCCATCCTCAATCCAAACTTAAAAGGTAGAGGAATTGTAAATATTCTTTAAGCAACTACATATTAATTTATTGGAAAAATTAATTTCAGTAGTGAAAGGGTTGTAACTAGATATCTTAATATTAAGCTTAATTTAGTAACAATTATTAACCATCTATTTGCTGAACAATGGAACGCAAGGAATTGATGAATTACTTAAATACCAAATTTTATGAATGTGGGGTCTACAATTTTTATATAATTCTCAAAGGGATGTGTGGGTTCAAACAGGTTAAAATCTGGTGGTTTAGGTGTTTTGCTTCTCTCTTTTTTAAGGAAAATTGAGATATTTAAGCATGTTTGGTCCTACAATCCTTAGTTTACTACAATAATCTCTACATTATATGATAAAAAGTGAGAGAATTTAGTCTAAATAATGTTACCTTTATTATTTTAGTATTCATGAATGGCTAAGCTTTAAATTTTGAAAAGCCTTATTGAAAACAAAATACAAATAGTTTATTTCAAACTGACAATCCTTTTGAAAACTAAAAGCACAATTATGTTTTATTTAATTGCAAAATAATTTTCTTAGTTTTCTTACCAATTAATGACTCTTTTGCATCATCATCTTTAGATTCTTCTTTAGATTCATCTGTTTCTGTACTATCATAATCGAATGACTGATTAACTGGCTCACAGGGGTGAACTGTCTGCTCATCCATAACTTTAAGTAATAAGAAGATAAACATGTTGAAACAAGAAAAAATAAAATCAATATATGCTTAGGGAAGGAAAATTGAAACATAAACCAAAAGAAATTCCATAGTCACAAATAAACACTAATTGACAATAAACCTGGAAATAATGTCTATAAATGCTAGAGATTATAAAAGTAAATTGTCAAAATTACATTTTTATTAGAAGAAAAAAATAAAACGTAAGAAATTTAGAGAATGAAATACAAGTCCAATTACAAGTTACAACCTGTAAAGAATTTTGGATACTTATTATCTACATTAAAATTTACTTTTAGTCTATTATAGAAGTTCCAAGATTATACATATTATATTAACACTAGAGGCCCAGTGCACAAAATTCGTGCACTGGTAGGGTCCCTACGCTTGGCCGGCAATCAGGGCTGATTGGGGCCTTCTGGCTGCCTTCCTTCTGGTTGCCGGCTGGAGCCTCCCTTCCCCAGCTGCCTGCCAGGGCCTTCCTTCGTTCCACACTGCCCTCTTGTGGTCAGTGCATGTCATAGCGAGTGACAGAACTCCTGGTCGAACTCCCAAGGGGACACTTTGCATATTAGCCTTATATATATATAGATAAAAATTAAAGTATAGGCAAAACTTTTATAAACTCTTAAAAAAGCAACCTAAACATTTAGGAAAAAAATATTAGGAAAATATTTTTAACGTAGTATACAGGTTTGATTTTTGTTTAGAATTCAAAGATTCCAAGTAAGTAAAAAATACTTTAAATCTTAGGATATTATTGAAAGCAATTTTTACTTTTATTTCTATGATTCCAGTATACTTTGTTTTTCTGAGTTTTATTTTTTAAGTAGCATTACTACGTTGATCCCTACTACTGAAACAATAACTAGAACTATTTACTAGTATAAATTTTGCTTTAATTATTTTAACTTTTACATTGTCTTAAAAAAATTTTTTTTATGTGTGTCCAGTGTGACCAATATGAACATTTTATTGTGCTTGCAAGGAGAATGTTGCTAACGTCTTCAAAAGCCCATTTTGTTAATATGTGTACCTTTTCCGGCTTCTTCAATGACTTGCCTCACTGCTTTCTTTAAACTATTTGCCCGCAACATTATTTCCTTTGGTTTCACTGCTTTCTGGGAGGAAGGTTTAGTAGTGTCATCCAAGAGCTGTTCCTTGCTTTCACACAAGGACTCTTCACTCGAAGATTCCACTGTATCTTCTTCTACAAGGACAGGGCTGATGCCTGGGAGAACAGCAGCCTGGGAGTCTGTACGCAAAGCCTGGAGCAGTTGTTCAAGCTTCTCATTGAGGACCGAACACTAAGAAAAGAAGGAAAAGAATGCCCTAATGAATCTCCATTTACAAGAGATAGAAAATGATAATTTAAATTAATGGTTTCTGATTTTAAAGGAAACATACGGGATATTGATGTTTACCATTAGTTGCTATTATACATTATACTTTAGACAGCCAATGGATTAAAGAATTTATAATTTTAAAAAACAGCACACATCTTATTTAAATTTATTTATTTATACTTTCAGAATGATTCAGATGCCACTTCATGGGTGAAAATCTTTACAATCTTTGTATAGCTATTTTTCCTTCAAAAAAACAAACAAAAAAACTCACTTTACTATAAGATGACACATTACACAAAAATTTAAACATTATACAAAATTTGCCATACAGTACACAAACTATCATATTAACACTTTAACTTCTGCTGAGTCTTGATAAGCTCACCTTGAAAGCTTTGGTTTGCAAAGGAGTGAATGGTGCCTGAGGAATTACTGGCTCAAAGAAAGAGCAAAAAGGAAAATGCACAGGCACTGGCCCTTGTTTCTTCCTACTTTCCTTGAATTACTAAGGGTGATTGAGGACTGAATTTCCAGTGATTTCCTTCTCCGTTTATTTGTCCTTGATAACAGGCAAGACAAAGTTATAGCAGAAAGAGTTAAAAGAAAAGTGTTGGTCAAGAGGGTTTCTTTTTCTGAAGCTCTCCACAGGGTAGAAACACAAGAGAAAGAGACTGGAAACGTCAACTGTATGTTTATTTCTATTTTCTTTTCCTTCCTCTCAAATAAACCCCATCTACAACATGAATCTGGGGGAGATCATTTCTTTGCAAGCCCAAGAGCACCAAGCGTTTTTTACAAATGCCCTGTCATGAATGCACGAAAGCGGACAGTAGCTTTTAGGGTTCAGTAAACGACTCTTAGTTTAGCCCCAGAAAGCTTTCCAAGGGGAAAAAAAATCTATAAAGATAAAGGCAAGAAAAGAAACCCTGGAAGATATAGAGGCCTGTAAAGTCTAGGGAATCTGAGAAACTGCGCTGGGAGGCACCCGACTGGCCAGAGGCTGCCTGGAAACGGAAAGCCATTCCTCTCTGTGACCTGACTACTGTGCGTTTCTCCTTCGCCGTGCCAGGCAGCGGGAACAGGGAGGTGCGGTATAAAATTCAGTTTGTCGGATGGTCCCCAGCAATGCAGTTTTTCTACATCTTAAGGAGTAACCATAAAATAGAATGTTTTAAACAGTTATATCTGATTCAAAAGAAACTTTCTTGTGATTTATGTTTTGGCAAGAAAACCACTTAATCAATTTAGCTATAAAACAAGTTCAGTGTTAACATTGTCAGTAAAAACCTTTCATGCCCTGATCGTGTCCTTACTTTGTTGGCCACGGCATCGGCTACAACAGCATTTTCCAACGTTTTGTCATATGCCTTCTCTACTTTGGCAACGAAGTCCTTTACAGTTTCACATAGTATCCTTTGAAGAAAAGAGATTGTGCAATTCCATAAACTCAGTAGGCTGATTTTCCCCCATTTATAAATATTTAAAAAATAAGCAAACTCTCAAAATACTGGAATCATTTGTATACAAACCCATAATTCTATCTACTGTTTGACATGTCCTAGATAAGTTCAAAACATTCTAAGTGAGAAATGGATACATTAATAAACCTTGCTCTACATACTTTAAATAAAAGCAATTTTAAGGTAATAACAAGACGTTGTCAAATATCCAAATTATATCTTGATAAGAGTATTTTCCAATCCCATTTAAAAGAGCATTATCTCCTAAGCATTATATAATTTCATAACAGGACTTGCAGACTTGATCAAACAAGAATAAATTTGCCACTTATGTTGTCACTGTCACTATACTATTCATCCTAGTGGTACCTTGATAATGCATTGTTCCTGAAGAGAAAAGCGGTTATGTGTTATGCTAGGGGTTAAGCGTTAGGAAACTGTTACAGATTTTACAAGTCTTAAAGAGACAGATCACCCAAACGCAACACCTGAACCATTTTTAAGATTTTGATTTGAACAAATTAAATGTTTTAAAACAAACAAACAAAACCTTTGGAGATAACTGGGTAAAATGGACTGAGTAACACAGAATTATTTTTTTAAAAGATTATTAAATATATATTCTGCAAGTGGAATACAATAATTTCTGGGATTTTCTTAGAGAGATTGTAGCAAAAAGAAAATGGGGCTTTGGCTGGTGTTCGCAATGGTTAGATCATCAGATCACGCACTGAAGGGTCTTGGTTTCCAGTCAAGGGCATGCACCTGGGTTGCAGGTTCCATCCCTGGCTCTGGTCAGAGCGTGTGCGGGAGGCAACCAATCGATGTGTCTCTCACATTGATATTTATCTGTTTCTCTCTCTCTCTCGCTCTCTCCCTCTCTCTCTAAAAAATCAATGAAAAATGGGGAATATATGACAAAACGTTGATAAATACTGAAGCAGAGTGACAAGCATAGTGGGAAATCATTACACCAGTCTTTCTACTTTTATGTATGTTTGAAAATGTCCATAAATTAAATTAAAAAAATGCGGTATTTTGGGTATAATGTTATTTCATGTTGTCTTCTCTTTTCTGTCTTGAATCTCTTTAAAATTTTAATCTGGGGTTGTAAAAACGGAGTAGCCAGACAAGCCTAGACGTGTAGGTGAGTGATGAGAGGGTTGGAATAGAATCTACTTAAAGGCAAACGAGCTAGTCAGGTAGAACACTAACGCTAATGCTGAGAGCACAGCCTAGACAAGGAGCTAGGTCAAGGTAAAAAAAAAGAATCCAAATGAAATTGGGGAAAACATGAGGTGATGATTTAATGATTTAACACAGCACTCTAGTTTATAAGCTCTATTTACTTTATTGCTCAACTTAGTTCTCCTAACAGTTCCACGAGGGAGGGAGGGAGGATAGGCATTCTTTCCATTCTTGAACCTGATAAGCAGACACAGGTCACAAAGCTAGCAAATGGCTGAGTCTCAACTAGGGCCTCAGATTGACTCCTACAGGACTTAAGGCAACACTGGGACTTACTCCAGTGGTTTTCAAGCTGTTTTGCAAAAATATTTCAAAGATTTCACAAATACTTGATTCAAATTTATTTGGAAATAAGGAATATAATTTTTAATGCTCAAATAATCATTAGATATATTAGAGACAAGTATGTTAACTTTTATTTCAAAATTCACTAGTTTTGTGCAAATCTTGGACTAAAGCATCTTCTATTTTTATTTAATTGAAGGCCATTTTTTTATACCTAAACAAAATAAATACAGAAATGACTTAAAACTGCATTAAATATAAAATCCTGTCATTTATAATAATATTAGTTATTTTTTCTCATAAATGACTAATAAATTAATCTTATCCAATTTATTAATGCCAACAAAATGTAATTTTTTTAAATATTGGGATTCTTCATAAGTTTTCATTTGAAAAAAATTCCCTCTGCTAAAAATGTTATACTTCACAGGTATTAAGTTCAAGAAAAATAAGGAATAAAAGGGGTCATTGCTGTAATAACCCTATTTGCATCTGTCCAGATTTTATAACATTAATTCCATGTAATTAAAAATATAAGTAGATCTCAAAAGTTCTCATCACAAGAAAAAAATGTAACTATGAAACTAAATATTAAAAAATATAGAAAATGTGTAGGAGTCAGTAATCAAACACATCAAACACATGAAGGCTATAGTAAGACTTTGCCAACCTCCAAACTATGAATGTGACCAGATACAATAGTTACTTAACTGTATTAAAGAATAATCCTATATAATAAAAGGGTAATATGCAAACTGACCCTAACAGCAGAACGACTGGGAATGACTGGTCACTATGACACACACTGACCACCAGGGGGCAGACGCTCAATGCAGGAGCTGCCCCCTGGTGGTCAGGGCGCTCCCACAGGGCGAGTTCTGCTCAGCCACAAGCCAGGCTGATGGCTGCCAGTACAGCGGTGGTGGTGGGAGCCTCTCCTGCCTCCTCAGCAGCGCTAAGGATGTCCGACTGCAGCTTAGACCTGCTCCCTGCTGGCAAGTGGAAATCCCCCGAGGGCTCCTGGGCTGAAAGAGGGATGTCTGAATGCCAGCTTAGCCCCAATCCCCCAGGGAGTGGGCCTAAGTGAGCAGGTGGTCATCCCCTGAAGGGTCCCAGACTGCGAGAGGGCACAGGCTGGGCTGAGGGACCCCCCTGAGTGCACAAATTTTTGTGCACCGGGCCTCTAGTTCTTTTATAACTTGATATACCTTAAGAAAGGTTCCAACTTTCCATTTTATCTATCTATTTCCTCTAAAATGTCCTATAAGAAACATTTGATTCATATGGCAAGGGTGGCAAACATTACATGTCTTCCAGAGGAAATAAATGTAGGAAGTACCTAAGGAAGTAACTTAGGTATATAAATTTGGTCCAAGATGAGAAAGACAACAAGGAGTGCTGAGGTCTGGGACAAATTAGAAATCTGCACATTTCACGATAAAGCAATACAATTCACTAAAAAACACCCAACCAAACAAAAACATAGAAACCACTAGCAGCACTATCCACCAAAGACCTTCTGTAGCCCACCTATTTGGGCAACCAGTGTGCTTCCCTTGAGAGTCATTCAATTCTTTCCTATTGCTCAGTCCTGTTTCCAATTCCTGGGGGCTATAGCATCAAAACTAACTATTACTACATTTGTAGTTTTGTCACAAGCAAATTGATTTAAGCTGGTTTGTCTTTCCTTGATTTTTTATAAATTAAGTATATACTATACTAAAGTTTGTGTATTTTCCCTCTATTATTCCCCTACTTCTTTTCTTTCCTTCTTCCCCTCTTTTCTCCTCTTTCTGAATAACAGTTATATACCCTGGCTAAGCCAGAGTTCTAAAGCATTCTTTTACTTTTGCTTATCAGTTGACAATTTCATTTGGTTTCATCCTTTCTTCTAGTTGACTTTCTAGTCTTCATAACTTCAGTTTAGGATGCCTGAAAACTAAATTCTAAATTCCAGCCATGCAACGTGTGGAATGATAAAATCAAGTAGCTTTGGCTCCATGTACAGAATCAGCTTAACTAAAATCTGGTAACTTTAAATTAAAATATAATTATGTACTTTAATCATGCTGAGAAAAGTCATTTAAAAAAATCTCATCTGTTTTCCTTTTCCTGATATAAACATTTCCTAAGTGGTAGTGTTTATGGAAGTAATAAATTATAATGAAATGTGTTTCCTATATTATAATAACCATAAATACTTCTTTAAATAGGAACTTAGCATAATTAAACTCTAAACACTTATTGTACCTTTTTGATAAAGAAATCTTTCAAATTAAGCCTTAAAAATACCCCACCATAAATGTTAAACGATTTTTTAAATGGAAATTTGGTTTATCTAATTCTGTAAGCTACTACAAAGATATCTTTTGGAAAACAAGTCACAGAGGAATGTCAGTGGTAAAACCAGCTTTCCTTTCATTTTCACCATAACTATTTCATGACCTCACTCTGTAACTCACTTAGCAGATGATATGACTACTGCATGTTCATCAGAATTAAGGATTTTTGTAAGATGATCTGCAACTGAATCTTCATAAATTGTCATCTGAAAAAAATAGAAAAAACTATATTGTGTTATCGTTGCCGGCAATTATACAACTCGGCTATCACTGCTTTAAAAATGGGATCATTCAGGGCAAACGTGACACAGGGCAATGGCTACAATGAATACATAATAGTCATTCTACAAAATAGATAAATATTTCCTTTCTGTGAAAGGCTGTTAGTTTCTGGAATTCTTTAATTTATACTCATAGAAAAATCCATAAGAAAATCTTTAAAATATTTTTTAAGTGTGAAAATACAAAGAATTCATACAATTGAGTACAAAAATGCCAGATAATCTAATAAGCATGGGCCAAAGACTAAAAATTTTAAGAGGAAGATACCCAAATGGTCCATAAACAGATGAAAAGGTGTTAACCTTATCAGCCATCAGGCAAATGTAAAGTAAATCCACACTGTGAAACCACCATATATCTGTCAGAATAGATAAAATGAAAACACCAACAACCAGAAAATGCCAAGCATTGGCAAGAGCCATAGAACACTCATACACTACTGGTAAGAGAGCAAAATGATACACACACTCTACAGAAATTGTATGAAATTTACAGTTTCTTATTAAGAGTCTTCCATCAAGTTTTTGCCTCAAATATATTCCATATCACATGGCTCTATTGAAGCTGAACATATGCATAATATGGTAGGACCCAGCAAACTTCAACATACATGCCCAAAAGAAATGCAGATGTGTGTTCAGCAAAAGACATATACTAGGATGCTTATAGCAATATTCACTCACTGGTAGAATGGGTAACAAATTGTAGTATATTCATGCAATGAAAAACTATGGGTCAATGAGGATGAATGATCTATAAACGAAGCCATAATATAGGTGACTCTCACAGACAAAATGTTGAATGAAAGAATTCAGAAACAAAGGAGCAGATACAAAATGGTTCTACTTTATTTTCTTTTTATTTTTTAAATATATTTTATTGATTTTTTACAGAAAGGGAGAGGGATAGAGAGTTAGAAACATTGATGAGAGAGAAACATCAATCAGCTGCCTCCTGCACACCCCTACTGGGGATGTGCCTGCAACCAAGGCACATGCCCTTGACCAGAATCGAACCTGGTACCTTTCAGTCCGCAGGCTGACACTCTATCCACTGAGCCAAACAAGTTAGGGCGATTCTACTTTATAAAGTACAAAAACAGATAAAACTAATCTATGCCATTAGAAGTCAGGATAGTGGTTATTGGGGTGGGAGGTGGGAGTGGTGAATAAAAGGAAGCATGAGGGGCCTCATGTGGTGCTGCTAATGCTGCCTTATGATCTGCGTGTTGATTACATCAGTTCACTTAGTTTGTGGAAACTGGCCAAGGTCTGATTTATGATATGTACTTTTTTGTAACATCCTATCTAATAAAGAGGGAATATGCTAATTGATCCTCATGCCGTGGCAAAGATGGTGGCGCCCACAGCCAATAAGGAGGAAATATGCTAATTCAATGCCACTCTCTCAAAGATGGCGGCGCCCACACACAATAAGGAGGGAATATGCTAATTGACTGCCATACCCTCAAAGATGGCGATGCCCACAGCCACAAGATGGCGGTGCCCAGTCCCCTCAGCACCCCCACGCGCCTGCCTCCGGAGTCTCCCAGTCCCCTCATCCCCCAAGCTGCCCAGGGCTGGCCCGAGGCGCAGGCAAGCCTTGGATGGTGGCTGCCCAGACAATGCCCGAGGCACAGGCAAGCCTTGGATGGTGGCTGCCCAGCTGCCCAGGGCCGCCTGAGGCTCAGGTAACCAGAGCTGGCCAAGGCTTGCGCTGTCGGCAGTGGCAGCAGCAGAGGTGTGATGGGGGCTTTGCTTTCCCCTGATCACCGGGTCGCCTCCCACCCCTCAGGGCTCCCGGACTGTGAGAGGGGGCAGGCCTGGCTGAGGGACCCCCCCATCTAGTGCATGAATTTTCATGCACTGGGCCTCTAGTAATTCAATAAAGCTTTTTTTAAATGCTGAATACAATCATACAAGCATGTAAATAAATATTTCTCTCAAACCGTGAAATAACCAAATGTCAATGGAGTCCTATGTTCCCTTTTCTATGTGACTCAAACTTTAATAGTCTGTTGAAAGAACATATCTTCCTAATATATGAAAATGTGTACAATATTTACAGTTTCATATCAAGAGGCTTCCATCAAGTTTTTGCCTCAAATATATTCCATGTCACATGGATCAAAAATTTCCACTGTAAGCCATCTGTTCTCTGCAGACCGGCCTCTCTGCTCTCCTGCCTGACTCGGACGTCCTTTCATTGCTCTCCACCAATCAGCCTGTTCATTCAGGCTCAAATGAAGATTCAATGATCCACATCCCCTATAAAGCTTTCCTGAGTAGCCTCTTCCCAAAGGGACCTCATTCACCATTAACATCCAATTCCCCCAGTGGCTAATTAGTATGTTGTCACTCTTTTAAATTTCTATCTTTTTTCAAAGGCAGACTATGTATGGAAAAAATTTACCTGAAAGAAAGTTGGGGAAAAGCTTCACACAATATTATATTGACTCACAAATCCACTTTATTGCTTTCCGGGTCTAAACATTAAAAAACTGCATCTTTACAGTTAAGATCAGAAAAATGAAAATACATCTATCCAAAAGGAAAGAAAGAAAATATTTTTTCAAAAAGATTAGTTTTATTTCATTTCCCTACAGGATAGATTGTCATAAAGCCTAAGAAGGTAGAAAAAAATACTATAAACTATCATTAATTCCATTTGAATTTACAATAAAGAAATCCAAGTTTTTGTCCATTAAATATAAACAAAGGCAAAGAATACAATCTCCTCCAGAGAAACTGAAATAAAACCTCCATGTCTGAGGATAAAATGATTGCTAGCACTTGCTAGCCTGTTATGTAGTCATTTAGCAGTCACAAAGGTAAGGCGATAATAATAGCTAACATTCTTATTGTGTAGCAGGCACAGTGATTAAGCATTTTGTATTTATTTATCCCAGTAGGTGTCCTGTTTCACAGCCAAGGAATGTGAGGCTCAGGTGAATTGAGTGGTTTTCCCGGATCCGCAGCTAATGAAGAGGAAACAAGCTGGGGGCAGGCCTGAGGACGCTGGGGCTTTTCCCACCACACTGTCCCCCTAAGCAAGTCTTGGCCTTCGCTTAACTGTATTTGTTAAATACAAATTTTATCATTTTTCACATGTGTCATTATTACAGCCTTCTTGCCAGGCTTCTTGTATCTCTCCTGCTCCTTTTCAAACCATTCTCCACTTAACAAGTGTTTAAAAAACAACAACAAAAACAGAAACCTGGCCCTGGCTGGGTAGGTCAGTTGGTTAGAGTGTCATCCCATGTACCAAAAGGCCGAGGGTTCAATTCCCGGTCACAGCACATATCCAAGTTGTGGGTTTGATCCCCTGTTGGAGACAACCAATTGATGTTTCACTCTCGCATCAACGTTTCTCTCTCTCACTTCATCTCTCTCTAAAATCAATAAAAGCACGAGGATTTAAAAAAACAGAAACACAAATCTGATCATACCACATCCCTGCTGAAAAATGTCTGAGTGGACCCCTCCTACTTTCCAGATAATGGAAAAACCCTTTAGCGAACAAGAAAGACCTCTAGAATTCCCAAGACCCTGAAGGATCGGTCTGACCCTTCTTTCCTCTTCTGTCCTGTTTTTTGATGCTCTTTCCTTGCACCGCATATTCTACCATGTGGTAACTCCATAGAATTATTTGTATGCCCCAATTTACCAAGGTCCTTATTACCATGCTCTTTGAAGTGCTCTTGTTCAACCAGCTTATCCCTACTTTTCTTTTGTGCTGAAAACAGAGTTTAGGAACAACTCCCTCTGTAAAGACTTCACTGAACTTACCAGGCCAAGAACCCTCTCTTCCGTACAACCATTACACCCTGAAAATACCTAAACATCACTGTCATTTCCTTGTCTGTCCCTCCTACTAGACCAGAGATTTCCAAACTTTCTGAGCTCAAGCCTAGTAAGTCAAGGGATTCTTTTTTTTTTAAAAAAAATATATCTTTTTATTGGGGAGAAACCAAGATGGCGGCATAGGTTAACGCCGGAGATCGCTGCCTCAAACAACCACTTCAGAGATATAACTAAAGCACAGAACGGACATCACCCAGAACCACGGGAAGGCTGGCTGAGTGGAAATTCTACAACTAGGAGGAAAGAGAATATCATACCCAGACTCAGAGGAGGCGCAGTGCTGAAGTGAAATACTCAGGTGCGGAGTGTGCGCGCGGAGCGGGCGGAGGGCGCGGTTGTTGTTTTCAATCGGGAGGGAGTTTCAGACTCTGAGCTCCAGATCCGGGCGAGTCTCTGGGGACCGAGACTCAAACGGGAGAAACGGGACTGTCTGGCTTCGGTCGGAAATCGAAGGCAGCTTTCTCTCCGAGGTTTGCAGCCATTGCTGGGGCTCTGAGAGGCAGAGCCCCTGGGGAAGGAACTGAGAGTCGCCATTACTGCTTGTTCCGCCCGCCCTGTAGATCCCCGGGGACCCGCCCCGCCCAAGCCCTGCACACAGGCATTTGCCGGATAGCCTCAGGCAAACGCTAGATTAGCACCGCCCTAGAAATCCAGCACAGAAGCCCTCCCACTACAGACACAGCGGACTCTCATAGCCAGTTAGCCTGGAGGTCAAATCACCCCGGTACTGCCGACATCAATCAAGGCTTAAAGGCAACAAGACTGCGGACAAAGACCACTAGGGGGTGCACCAAGAAAGCATAAAAAATGCGGAGACAAAGAAACAGGACAAAACTGTCAATGGAGGATATTGAGTTCAGAACCACAGTTTTAAGGTCTCTTAAGAACTGTCTGGAAGCTGCCGATAAACTTAGTAAGGCCCTCGAAAAGACTGGTGAGACCGCCGATAAATGTAATGAGATCCTCAAGAAATCTAATGAGACCCTCGATGTTGTGATAAAGAACCAACTAGAAATTAAGCATACACTGACTGAAATAAAGACTATTATACAGACACCCAA